AACCCAACTTGTGGGCCACCTGGGAGGCCACAGCAGGACCCAGTGCCATGTCTGACATGTCCCTGCCAAGACGCAGACCCAAACCCGGCCCTGAGGAGACAGGAACAGACTGAGGACCTCAGACAAGAGCACAAATCCATCCTCTTCACGGTCAAGTACATGAAAACAGGCTGATGGGCCTGCTCTGGCTAAGATGACAGGAGATGTGATAGCCACACAGAATGGCAGCTGAACGGGCAGGGGCCGCCCGGGGCCTGAGGGCCACCATCCGGGTGCTGGTGGTGCTGGGGCATCGAGGAGGAGGAAATCTGTTTCCTGATGACTCAGCGAGAAAACACTGTCTGTATTATGCTTGTAGTTCTCCATAAATTTGAGATGGTTTCAAAATTTTAAAGTATACATTAAGCCAAGGAATACAGATACAATGGAATCCACGGTGCAAGCTTCCAATTACAGAAAGGTCTAGAGCAGGAGATGTTGGTCTGAAGGCTCAGGGCAGGTCAGTGCCCCAGGGCAGGGGGGTGGACCATGCAGGGGCAGCAGGGAAGCCTGAGGCAACAAAGACTGTCACCATGTCCTGATCATGGACATGGCCACGCAGGCACAGACACTGCTAAAACTCGTGAAACATGCAGGGCTTCCCTGCTAGCTCAGCTGACCAAGAATCTGCTGGCAATGCAGGAGACCCCAGTTCAATTCCTGGGTCGGAAGATCCCCTGGAGAAGGGACAGGCTGCCCACTCCAGTGTTCCTGGGCTTCCCTGGCGGTAAACTCACCTGCAGTGTGGGAGATCTGGGTTCGATCCCTGGGTTGGTAGATCCCCATGGACAGAGGAGCCTGGCAGGCTACACTCCACAGGGTCACAAAGAGTCAGACATGACTGAGCGACTCACTTTCAAGAAACACTTAAAATGGGTGCATTTTCTGATATGTCAACTGTATCCCAATAAAGACTTTAAGTTTAAAAAAAGAGGTCTCCCAGGTGGCGCAGTGGTAAAGAATCCGCCTGCCAATGCAGGAGACCTGGATTCAATCCCTGGTTCAGGAAGATCCCCTGGAGAAGGAAATGGCAATCCATTCTAGTATTCTCCTCTGGGAAATCCCATGGACAGAGGACCAGTCCAGGGGGTCACAAAAGAGTCAGACAGGACTGAGCAACTAAACAGCAACAATGTGACACAGGGCTTGCAGCGGCAGTGTTAGTAACGCCTGCACTCAGCGGGTGCACAGGCCAATCAAAAGCATACACCGGGCTCAACAGACACTTGGCAAACAAGACACTTAGGAGGCAACAAGCTTCTGCAAAGTGCCCAGCATCACAAGTCAGCAGATGCCAATCAAAGCCACAGTGAGATCCTCCAGGACAGGCCGACTCAAAGACCAGCACACAGGCCGCCCCAACAAGCCCACTTTCAGATGCACCTGAGACACAAGGATGCTTGCAGCGGCCGTAGCGACAAAAGCCCCCAGATGGAAACAGCACGGGTGGCGGGACAAACAAGCTTGGTGATTCCCACTGAGGGTGCGCCTCAGGAGGAAGAAGACACATGAGCCAGAGCTTTATGAAAGTGAATGGAAAACAGCTGAGCAGAGAAGCTTGACAGAGCACCCTGTGAGTCCGCAGATGTGAGGTTTAGAACAGGGACTGCGTCTCAGAGGCGGGACCAGCTGGGGAGGACGGAGGCGGGGGGTCGGGGGGTGCGTTTCTCGGGGATGCAAACAGCCTGCACCTCCACAGGAGAGGTCACCTGGGCAACGGTGTGGGTCAAAGCCTGCTCAGTTGTACACAGAAGAGCCATGTGCCTCACTGTGCGGAGGTTAAGTGTGTGAGCTGCTCAGTCTGACCCTCTGCGACCCCATGGACTGCAGCCCGCCAGGCTCCTCTGCCCACGGAATTCTCCAGGCAAGAACACTGCAGTGGGTTGCCATTCCCTTCTTTAGGGGATCTTCCTGACCTAGGGATCAAACTCAGGTCTCCTGCACTGGCAGGCAGTTTCTTTACCCCCAGGCCACCTGGGAAGATTATTCCTCCATGTTCATATTTAAGATTTTTCACACCACATACCAGATAAACTCCACCTGGATTCAAGAGTTAAACTTGCAAATATAACACTGAACAGGTACTAGAGAACATTTTTATAATTTTTTTTTTGGCTACACCACAAGGCATGAAGGATCTTCCGATGGGTGATCGAACCTATGCCCCTGCAGTGGGAACACAGGCTCCTAACCATTGGGCTGCTAGAGAAGTCTAAGAATGTGTTTGTAGTTTGGAGATGAAGGTCTTTCTAAATACGGTACAAAATTGGAAATCACAAGCAATATTACCATAAAAATGTAAGTTCACCATGAGTAAAAGGATACAGTATATAAAGTGAAGTGAAAGTCACTCAGTCATGTCCCACTCTTTGTGACCCCATACACAGTCCATGGAATTCTCCAGGCCACAATACCAGAGTGGGTAGCCTTTCCCTTCTCCAGGGGATCTTCCCGACCCAGGAATCGAACCACGGTCTCCTGCATTGCAGGCAGATTCTTTACCAACTGAGCTACCAGAGAAGCCCTTACAATATATAAGGAGACCACACAAATCAATAAGAGAAATATAAACGACGCAATTAAATTTTACAAGGCAACTCACACAGGAGGGAAGGCCCGTCTGTCATTAATGTGACGTTTGGTGTTAGCAGCGAAGCAGCAGCACTCGGGTCCTCTTCCTCCAACAATTAGAGGGTGGTGTGGGCGGAGGGTAACCGCACAGGCAGAGAAAGACGAGGCTCGGAACCCTCCTCTCCGCCCGTCTACCTCAGTGGAAACGGGAGCAGCTGTCGGGAAGTGTGGAGGAGGCCACAGTCTGGACCTAGGCAGGGGCAGCCGCAGAGCTGGGCAGGCCGGGTCACAGGGACCCCCAGGCAGGCAGGCAACTGACAGGTCTGCCTTGAAGAGTGAGCGACCAGGTGAGACCCTCACGCTCTACCCAAGTGCCCCCACCCCACAGGAGGCCTCTGGCCTGCTCCCACACCCTGGGCAGCCCCGCAGGGGAGCGTCTTGGCGGTGGGGGCACCAAGGAGCGGTGCAGACCCCACAGGACCAGAGAACACACGCAGCTATCCGGCACCCGCTGCCGAAATGCCCCGTGGGGAACCCCCCGCCACAGGCCTCCCCTACACCCCGAAGTTTGCAACTGGACTGTATCTCAAGTCAACAAAGAGCTGTCTGGGCACTGGCCCTGCCCCAGCACAGAACCAGTGGACGCCTCTGGCCCCCGGGCTCGGAGCCTGGTCCGAGGGGCACACGGGGCTATGATCTCAGCCTGAGGTCCAGCTGCGGGTGGGCCCTCCAGCCAGCACAGCCCCTCCTGGGGTCCAGGCGCTCCCAGGAGAGAAAGACAGCAAGTCCCCAGGGAAAAGAGGGCTTCTCATGCAGACCAGCCTCAGCTCAGTCCCCCGGCTCCAGACATGGGGCTCGGTCCCCGTCCACAGCGACACACCCTGTTTGGACTGTTTGCAAAAGGCAGGTTCTGGACAAACGTTCGGAAGAGTCTATCTGAACGACTTCCGTGTATAAAAGGCAGAGCATTCAAGCTGCTTCCTGAGTGTGAAGGTGAGATATGGGACCAGAGGTTCTGCAGACGCCGGCCTGGCCGGTAAGAGGGGGACAAGCCCAGCTCTGCCGTCCCCAGCCTCCCCGCGTCCGTCCCCAGCCTCCCCGCGTCCCTCTCCAGCCTCACCGTGTCCGGAGATCCACTTCCAGCCTCTGGAGCGCTGGACACACACAGACGCCCCCACGCCCACACACAGGTACACACACCCCCCTGAGGGCTGCCTGGGGAGGGACAAGCCGCATCCTCCTCCAGGGATGAGGGGGCTGTAGGCCCACCTGCTCGGAGGCGGCACAGGGCTGGGCCTGACCGCTGGTCCCCAGGGCTGCGTGGGAACCACAAGCACCGCGTGACACTCGCAGGAAGCGTGGGTGTCTCGCAGAAACCAGCTGAAACATGATACCATGATAAAGCCTCATTTAAAGTACTTCTTTTTTTTTTTTTTTATTGATTTCATTGAAAACAGAACAAGAAATGGTCTGAGCCAAAAGACTGCTCTTAGAACTGTCAAAAACATTTTAACAGAAAAAATAAACATGACTGCATCATGAATGTTTTAGAAGAGTTGCACAGAAAACCCACTGTTACTGCACTAATTACAGTGTTTAAAAAAGTATATGCCAAAAAAAAGTATATGACCTGGCAGGCCATCACACAAAAGGTGACGGCAATTTTATTCACACTACAAGACTAACATTTTAAAAAAAGTTTTTCCTGCATTTTATTCTAAAATCACTTTGTTCTCTTTATACAGTTGATAGTTTATTTTCACATGGTGAGTAGAAACCACACCAGAATCAGCACCGTTGTCTGTGTTTTTGTGTTTATTTCTTGTTTGTCCTAATGTCCAATAATGGTAGAAAATAAATCAGTTTATTCATCATCATAGCATGTGGCTTAGAAATCAATAGGAGGTGCGGTGCTCTGGGGCCATGGCCATCCTGCACCCCAAACCGCCCCCTCGGAAAGAAACACGTGAGAGGTCTGGTGTATAGGACTAGATATAGGATTTCTTTAAAAAGCAAACCCACGTTTTCTCCAAAGTCAGCAGTGGCTCGGCCCTGACCTCGCAGGGGTGGTGGGCACGGGGTCTGTGCCGCCCGGAGCCAGCGCCGGCCACACGGGCCGCGGCGGGCCACACGGAGAGTCCGGGCCGACAGGGCGCGGCCCTCAGCCTGGCGGTGAGCCGGGAGCGACGGCACGCGGGGGGAGACGAGAAACGTGGAGCAGAAAGACCACCGTCGGAAACTCACGGCGAGGCCAGCGAGGAGCCCAGGCGTCCCCGCGCAGCCGGGCCCCGCCCCCCGCGGCCCCGGGCAGGCCAGACGGTCTCCTGCATGCCTCTCCGTCTTCCCCAAACCACAGCGAACGGCGTCCACTTGGGCGCCGGACGGCGCTCTCATAGCGGGTCGGCGGGCGAGGAGCTGGTGTCGGGCAGCCCGTCCTCCTGGGCGCCGGCCTGCCGCTGGGCCAGCGCGGCCCCGGAGTGCCGGCACTTGGGGGAGCCGCAGCGGCAGCTGAACAGCTTGCCCTTGATGTCCCAGAAGCGTTGCCCATAGTCGAAGCTGTGGAGAGAGAGCCCGGGTCTGGGCCTGTGCCCCGCCCCCAGTGCCACCCGCCCACCCGCCGCCCGCCCGGGCACCTACCCCAGCTGCTCCCCGGCCTCAATCAGGCGGGTGCTGAAGAAGGCGATCCGCGGGAAGCGCAGGTCCTGGTGGGACATGAACACGCGCACGGGCACCAGGTTGGGCTCGCAGTGGTGGTTGATGAAGCGGCTGACGTTGCCGTAGAAACGCGCGTCGATGCAGTACAGCTCTCCGTCCTGGGGGAGGCACGCGCTGAGCATCCGGGGCGGGCACGGGCGCCACCCCGCCCCGCCCTGGCCGGAGTGCCCACTCGGCGAAACAGAGCGCAGATCCGGGATTCACGTGGACGGCGCTGCGGGCACCCAGAGAGGCGCCAGGGTCCATGAGGACCACAAGGCAGCACAGGCCCTCAGGGACCCGGTGATGGAGGGGGGAGGAGCGCCACCCCAGAGGCAGGGCAGAGGGACAGATGGACGGGGAGACGGAGAGAGGGACGGGGGACAGAGAGAGAGGGACGGGGGACAGAGAGAGAGAGAGGGACGGGGGACAGAGAGAGAGGGGGACGGGGGACAGAGAGAGAGAGAGGGACGGGGGACAGAGAGAGAGAGAGGGACGGGGGACAGAGAGACAGACAAATGGGGGGACACAGAGATGGATGGAGGGACAGAGAGACAGATGGACAGGGAGACAAGAGAATGGGGAGTCAGAGGAGCAGAGGGCGGGGTCTGCCAGGTCACTGCTGAGGGGACTTAGCCAACAGCAGCCTTCAGGGTGGTGGTGACCCCGTGGGCACAGACAGTGGCCAGGACCCAGGCCTGACCTGACCCTGAGAAGAGGTCTGGCCTCACAGCTGAACCCTGAGAATGCCGCGTTTCCCCTGGAAAGACCCCAAACACCAGAGCGACGCTGTGCCGGGAAGGGCCCCCCGGAGAGGGGCAGGGCCCCGCAGCACCGCCATGTCTGCAGGCTCTGACCTCCCACCCGGGGGGGCGGGAGGGGCCACAACTGGGCTGATTCTACCCCCTTTCCTGTGGCATTACCCACAGAGGCCAGAAACGGCGATCCTTGCAGGAAGGAAGCTTCCTAATTATACGAGAGACTCAGTGGCCACAGAAGGGGTCCCTGTCCAGGCGCGGGAGGAAGGGGCACAGGGCTGGCCCCACAGCAGCAGCATCCACACCAGGACCCGAGGCGGCCGGGCCCGCCTGAGTCTGCAGGACCTGGGCAGCCCCCAGGAATGCAGGACTCCTTGGGGACGAGCACGGGTTCCTCTGCCCACCGGCCCCCAGTTCCAGCCCCAACACGCCCCCACACTTCCCACAAGGTGCATCCTGGGCGCTCGGCTGCCCATCCTGAAGGCCAGACTGCATCCAGTCCTGTAAATTCCCTCCACAAGAACCCCGCGACCCTCCGGCAACAAACATTGCTCGGGCCTTTAAAACATGTCCTTTCAGATGAACATGTTGCTCTTTCAAAGCTTCTCTGATCAAAAACCACCCACACCTGGTCCTGCAGCAAAAACGAGGGGAGAGAGCCCATGCCCACTTGAACCCCTGCGTCACAGCTCTGCGGTGCTGGGTGTGGGCACCCAGGGAGTCAGGTGACAAGGGCAGAGGACAAGTGGGTGGGTGCTTGGAAGGTTCTAGAACAGCAAGGAGATGGGCAGATCTGCAGCAGGAGGACAGGTGTTGTGACCCAGGAAACACCCGGATAGCAAGGCCAGAAAGTGCCCTGCTGCCTCGGACGATGGGGCTGGGGGGGGGGGGGGCGCCAGTGGGTGCGGGCACTCTGAACACCAGCGCTCGGAGACGCAGGCACCCAGCAGGTGTGGGCACTCTGAAAGTCAGTGCTGAGGGTCTCAGGCCTGAGCTGGAGTGGTGGGGGCCATGGGTGCATCCGCCCTGTCATGTGCCCAGAATGAATGTGTCACGGGACTGAACACCCGTGGCCATGCGGGCTGGGCAGAGCAAGGAAGAGACCTCCCAGAGTGAGAGTGGAAGGCCTGCAGGGCAGCCGGCCCCTCTGAGGGTCACTCTGCCGGGGCCACTGGGGCACCCAGAACAGCCCTCCTCCCGTCTCCCGACAGCGAGCCCTCGCCCGCCTGTCAGGGGCTGTGAGAATCAGACCGGCAGCCTGGTCTGCAAAGGCGGAGGCGGAGACAGGCTGGCGACGTCCAAGCAGCAGCGGGCAGAGAACCTCGAGGGTCGAGCTCCACGGCGAGGCCGCCCGGGGCAGTCCCGGCTGTGCCGCGTGCTGGGCAGCAGGGCTGGGATCACCGCGGGGGAGGCTGAGCCGGACTCAGAGGGGGCAGCTGCAGCTTGGTCCCCGCAACGCGACCACGTGCTGCCAGAGGAGGGAGCCTACGCCCTGATGCCCTTCAGGCAGGTTTGGAACCCAAACAAAAACCAGTTAGGAACAGGCGGCAACAGGTAAGCAGGATGAAGACCAACAGGGACCCCAGACACCAGACAGACCACAGGGACCCCAGAAACAGACCACAGGGACCCGAGAGACAGACCACAGGCGGGGGAGTGGTGCCCGGTGGCCACACTGGGGCACGCGTGAGCCCCTGCAGGCGACCACCGCAGCTGGGACGCACCGAGTAAGCGGTGTGAGATACATCCCGGGTGTGATTGCCCACAAAGTGAAATCACCCTCTGTATTACTCCAGCAAGTACGGGAGAGGCTGCGGGAGCAGAAAGATTTCAACAGATGCAGAAAAGCACTGAATATAACCTCTAGCCCACCATGTGACTCCTGATGACCTTGCAGCAGAGCCCTGAACACCCACAGCCCGTGGGAGCCTGGGGTCTGGAAGCTTCCTTCATCCAGAGCAGGAACGGAGGCCCGGCCGGGAGGGGACCATTGGACCGTGTCCGCTCAGCAGGGCACTCAGAAGACACGGCACACTGGGCAGGCATGGGAGCGAGCGCCTGGCTTCACCCCGACCCACAGAAAGGGGCTCGGAGGCTCAGGCTCCTGAGGAGGACCGAGCACTTGAGGGCCCCCGCTGGCAGCACCTGTGAGCTCCAGCGAGTTCCTAGGTCAGCCTTGAGGAATCAAGGAGCCAGGGCAAAGCGGAGGGCAGCTGTGCCAGCTCAGAAACCCCTGGAAACCAGGGCCCGGAGCGGGGGAGCTGGAGTCTGGCAACCCCGCCAGACCCTGGGAGGGAGCTGGGACACGGAGGACTCCCCGGTCACACGTGTGACCCTCAGTGCACACGGAGCCTCCACCCTTGCTCAAAGGGCGGGCTCAGGCTGCAGAGCTGCGTCCCAGCCCCACGCTCAGGAGGCTAGCAGGACAGACACGGCCTCTGGGCCCCGTGACGCCGCCGCAGGCACCTGAGCCCAGCAGAAGGGCCAACATCAGCCAGGGCTGCCGAGTCTCCCTACCCGTGGGCACCGCCACACCACGGTCCCCCCGCGCCACGCCCTACCCCTCAGGCTGCGTTACCTTGTTGTCAAGATCGAAGAGGTAAGAGTCTTCTTCCCGCACGTCGGCCTCCGAGTCAGAGATGAGCTCCCCGACGTACCTGTGGGCCAGGGTGGGGTGGTGAGAACGTGGCACCTGGGAACCTGAAGAAGCCCCATGCAAGGACGATCTGCTGTGAATCAACAAGGACTGAACCTGGGCCCCAAGATACAACACAGAAACCCTCTGACCAGAGTCCAAAGTGACCATCCCTGGGAATCACGAACGAAACCCTGACAGACCTTCTGAAACGAGCTCCAAGCTGGTGAGGAAGTGCAGGCGTAAGAGCAGATGGAGCAGGGGCACCTGCCGCACGAGCCACATAGCCGACCTGGGCAGCCCCGCCTGGCGAGTCTGCGCCACGAGGGCGGGGGGCTTGCCTGGTGCCCCTCCCCCATGCTGCCCCCTCCCCGCCACTCCGAGACCAGAGGGGCAAGGCCCGGGAGATGCCCACCCACCCACCCTGTGACCACAGGGGCAGGGCCCGGGAGAGCAGCACTCACTCGCAAACAAAGGTGCCCAGCGGGATGTCCTGCAGAGACCGGACGCCCCAGCCCATGTTCTGCGTCCGATAGAGCTGCAGCCTCGCCCTGGAAAACACAGCTATGTCCCAGCTCACTCCGCTCAGGAGTGACATGCGAGGTTTGGGAGTAGAGGGCAGAGAACACCGCCTTCGTGTCTGGAAGCGCTTCAGCACCAGGTGAGGGAGCAACAGAGACTCCGAGCAACCCCAGGCCCCCGGCCACGCCACACCATCCTTCACGCCCTCAGGAGGCGCCGGGGTGGGCGGGCCCTCGGCCCCGCCCACCCTCCCTGTGCTGCAGGGTCCTGACCCCAGCACCCAGCATGGGACCAGGCTGGCCAAGCCTCAGGTGTGACAAGGACCAGGCGGGTGAGCAGCCTGCTAGCCCTGACTGGAACACAGCTGGGCGCGGGCGGTGTGCGAATGGCAAGGCTGAGCTGAACTCTGGGGGCAGGGGGGGCAGGGGGGGCCCCGTCCCGGCCCCAATAGTCAGGGCATCCGCCTGCCATCTGTGTTCTGGGGCCCTCGAGGGAGACGGGCATGTCTGTCCTCTCCCCAAGGACGTCCAGCCACACACAAGGACACAGAAGTGTGGGCCGCTCACAAGGTGCAGCGAAGTTACTCATTGTTAACAGACCCCAAATCCTGAGGCCACTAACACTCAGCCAAACCTACACAGAACATGAATCTGCCCTACGACCTTAGACTTTCCGACTCTCGAGCATTCCACAGACGAAAGCTCCACGACCACAGCCCCAGGGTCTGGCTCTGGGGGGTCAGCAGACTAGACACCCACATAGCTAATCGACAACAGGTGTTACAACTAGACGCCACCTCCATGACACAAAGGGCGGAGTGCAAGGGGACCCAAGTGTCCACACAGGCTCGAACTCGTGAGCTTGGAGAAGGCGGCTCATGGGAAGCCCGGCTCTCGCCTTTGGGCTGTGTGACCTGAACCCATATCTGAGCAGGTAGGAGACACGGCTTCTGCTCTTTACAACAACCCTAACACAGGCCAAGGCTCCTAGGAACATGCGCGCACACACACACAGCTTCTGCTCTTTACATCAACCATAACACAGGCCAAAGCTCCAAGGAACACACACGCACGCACACACACACGGCTTCTGCTCTTTACATCAACGCGAAACACAGGCCGAGGCTCCAAGGAACATGCACGGGCACACAGACACACCCACAGAGCTTCTGCTCTTTACATCAACCATAACACAGACCGAGGCTCCAAGGAACACACACGCACATGCGCGCATGCACACACACAGATTCTGCTCTTTACATCAACGCGAAACAAAGGCCGAGGCTCCAAGGAACATGCACGTGCAGACACACACACACACACACACACACACGGCTTCTGCTCTTTACATCAAACCGTAACACAGGCCGAGGCTCCAAGGAACACACGCACACACTAAACACATGTTCTCCCGTCTGTGGACACACGTGAAACCTGTGAGCTGCCCAAGAGCCCAGACCACCTGTGCCCTTGACCACAGAGCTCCTGGTGCCGCCGGAGGGGCTCACCTGAGGCCGTTCTGCACCACGCGGTTGCGGCAGGTCCTCCAGCAGGAGCAGGCATGGTTGCACTCGAACAGCAGGGGCGGCTCTGCCATGTTGAACTCGGGCAGCAGCCGGCCGTCCTGGGGCAGACACGAGAAGGGCTCGCCACCCACAGCAGGGCCCCCGCAGACGAACAGACCCCCAGAACGCTGGCTTCCACCCGGAGGGAGTGGCCAAGAGTCCACGTGGCTGGTCCCCGGCCCCTGACTGACTGGCCTGCCCGCCTTCCCCGCATCCTCTCAGCCTCCTGAGGCCCCTGCAGCTTGCCCTGTGGCCTCCCGCCCGGCTCGCCTGCCCGCCCCTCCTGCCCCTCTGCAAACACCCACTCTGGAGGGGCCCACCACCCTGTTTCTGTCCGACACCCGGGACGCCGTGAACCGCTGGGCTACACCAGGCAGAGTCTGAGGCCCTGGCAGCTTCAGGGGCTGTTCTGAGGGTCACAGCTTGCCGGCCCCGCCCCCGTCAGCACGATACATCCTCAGAGAGGTGCCGGTAGCCCTGCCCACAATGCCTGAGCCTCTAGTTTGGGTGGCCCTGATGCTCCATCTCCCCTAATGACGACCCTGTGCCAGCAGCCGGCCCATGTGCCCTCCTCACCCCAGTACGCCCCGCCCCTGCCACCAGTAATGACCTCTGAGCCCCAAACCAAAGTCGGGGGCTCCTGCCTCAGCAGCACCCTCCAGCCCCGCAGCTGCCTCCAGCCAGGCTAGCGCCGCCGCCCTGGCCCCAGCCCCCCACCCAGGGGCACGGGCTCCACCCTGCCCCCGCCCTGGCCCCCAGTCGGCACCCCCTGCACCACCCCCACTCACCCGGGGGCTCACCTTGTCGTACCAGCAGCGCATGCTGAGCTGGCCGCACATGCAGTTGCTGGAGGAGCAGTCGTCGATGCACACGCAGTACTGCGGGCAGGGCCGTGTCAGACAGTGCCCCACCCCACCGTCCCACACCGTTCCCAGCTCTGGGGGCGGTCCTCAGGACGCTGGGGCCTGCAACCTCCCCCAAGGAGGAGGTGGAGAGGACACGCGGGTCCTGCGCAGGGCTTGCGAAGGGCGGGGAAGGCTGGGGGCCTGGGCTCTTGGCCCCAGGAGCGCGGGAAAGCGGGCAGACGCTGGGGGAGTGGCCAGAACCGAGCCAGCAGAGCTGAGGGCGGCCAGAGCGTGGGCCCGAGCCTCCCGCCACCCAGCAACCGCTTGGTCCAGGGCCCCCCGCCGACCTGCAGGTGGGTGATGTTCCTGTCGATGTTCATGGGGGACGTCACACAGTTCTGAGACACATACTTGTAGTTGCTGGGGCACGGCTCACCATCCACACCGTTGACGCAGGGGATGGGGATCCGCTCGTAGCCCCGAGCGATGTCCCTGCCACAGGGGGCGTGTCAGCTCCAGGCGAGCCCCACTCCCTCCCGCGCCTGCTCCGCCCTGATACTGGCCGCTCCTCACCTGCTCACCGTCTTCTCCACCGGGGCGGGCCTGTCGGGGGCCGCATCCCGCAGAGCCTGGCTCACCTGCAGGGCGCTCCACACCTGCGAGTTGAGGCTGGCGCACTGCAGGGGTGTCTCCCCCTCCTTGTTCTTCAGGGTGACGTCCGAGTCCCGGGACAGGAAGAGGCTGCACAGAGAGCAAGGCACAGGACACTGAGCCCTTCAGTCCAAGACTCAACGACAAGATGCACGCAGCACGCCCACCCAGTGCAAACAGGACCCGCCGCCTGCTCCCAGACGTCACAGCCTGCAGACCGGCGCCTCCAGCCACCACGCAGACACAGCCTCCTCCCCACAAGCACTGTCCTTCGCGGGAAGAGCACAGAAACTAGGGATGGCATCCGACTTTTCTCAGCTTTTCCATTAAAGGCACCCTCGGGATGAAAGGACAGCCACGTCTCTTGGCCACAAGCTCAGCACCTGGCAGGCGATGGTGCTGCCAGGGAGGATCAGACAGTGCGCCAGAGCTCGGCGCCCCCAGGGACCCCATCCGAGAGGGCGCAGGCCCCATGGCAGGGGCACCCCTTGTCCCAAGCCCCCATGCGGGGAGGACGGGGCCGCACGGCCCTGAGCTTCCGCCTGGAGCGGAGCAAAGGCTCTGGCAAGCGGAGCTCCCAGCGACCCGTCTGCCCTCCAGACGGTGTTGCTCCCCTGGCCCTGAGCTGGGAGCCTCCAGGATGGCAGATTTTCACCGCAATCCTCCCGAGCTACGCTGACCACTGACCGCAGGCCTGGTGGGAGAGGCCTTCCGCCGCAGGAAGTCCCTGGGGCCCTGGAGCCACTCACACGACACAGGCGTAGCGGTCCTCCCTGGCTGCGATGTGCAGGGGCGAGTCCCCGTGGATGTTCACCGCATGCAGGTCGCACCTGGCGGCCAGCAGGATCTCGGCAATGTCCACGCAGCCCGAGAAGGCCGCCCAATGCAGGCAGATGTTCTCCTCCTGGGCGAGGGACACGGGGGTGAGCCCCACCGAACAAAGGCGTCCTGCTGTTCTGTCTCATTTTCATTAAAATGTACAACATCACAGTGCAGAGAAGGTTAAAAACAGAAAACAGTCTCCTGAACTGGGCTACACCGTACACGACACACCATCTAGGGCCAGTTTACCTGCTTTTTTAAATTACGTTCCTTTTGAAGCACAGTTATGACTGTAGCATAGTGATGCTTGTATAAGATTTGAAAAAGGCAAATCTGATTAAAACTTTATTTCATAAAAATCTAAAAACTTTAAATGAGGCAAAGAAAAATTTTGAAGTACCTGTGCCATATGTAAAATACATGATTTACCACATATAGATTATACACGTGATATAATCTACCATGTTAAGTCTGTTAGAACACTAGTTTTTAAAAAACAAACGTGAAAACGAAAGGTAAATAAAAAACAACATAAGAACAATGAGGAGCAAACCTTAAAGTCAAAAGACAAAGTCTAAATGAGAACCACGGCACATCCAACCTGCTGCATGCGGCCCCGCGCACAGAGAGCCCGCCCAGAGCAGCCCCTGGTCCCTGGCTCCCAGAGCAGGGTGCCCCAAGCCCCCAGCTCCGCTCCCCGCTCCACCTCCCTTGCAGACATGCCCAGCGATGTTCCCACTGCCCTTTCTGGCCACTGGCATCGGGGCTGCGGCCTCCACTCTCTGCTGTGTGGGCAGAGGGCGCATCATGTCCAGGATGCCGGGCCCTGCTCCGCCCAGCGCATCCCCACACCTCGTATATCCCAGGCCTCCAGCTCAGCCACCTTGAGGAAGACGGTGTGGAGCAGGACTGAGGGGCCAGGGCCTGCTCCGCTTGCTGAGTCCACAGAGAAAGCGAAGCGGGCTCCTCTCCCCGGCATCGCTCTCAGAAGCCCCCGCCCCAGGTTCCACCTGCCGCACACCTGTGGGCTCCTCAGTGAAACGGAGACCCAAGGGCCTCTTCCTGCTCCAGCATCAGAGCTCTCCGAGACCTCATCAGCAGAACTGAGCCTGTCCCAGCCCCCAGGCCTGCGGTCGGGGGAGGTGCCCGGGCTGCTACCTCAGGACAGGCCCACATGTCTGACAGGCGTACAGCAAAGGAGGGGCAAGAGGGGCTGCGACGGGTTTACTCCTACCCACGCCTCGGTGGAAATGCAGGCAGCAACAGTTTTCAGGAGCTGGACATCAGGCAGTGAAGGGCTGCACCCCGAGGGGGGAGTGAGGTGGCTGCTGCTCCCTGTCCCTCTCAGCTCCAGATCAGGCGGCCCCAGGACAAGGCGGCCAGGGGTGAGGGCCAGCGGTGGGCTGAGAGAGGCCTCTGGAGGGCTACACATTCCAAGCCTGGGCCTCCAGGAGGACACACCGGTGCACAAGACTCAGTGCCGGCCCCACAGGGTAGGGATGACCAGTCTCAGCTGAGACCTGTTCAGACCACCTGACAAACTTAGAAAGCAAAACCCCACATGACTGGGCCATTTCCAAATAACACTGCTGCACTGGGAACAAGGTTGAAGACAGATTCCCAGCAAGGTGAGTTCACAGCGTTTTGACTCCAGTGTCAGCTTACCAGACAGGCAAACTCGGAAAACCAGACCTACAACGAGCAGAAAGTCAACCTCCCAAACCCAGAAATGACACACAGGGTGGACCAGCAAACTTGGGCATCAGAGAAACCGAACAACTGTGTTCAGAAGAGACACACTTCAGAAAATACCAAGAAGGCCCTGCAGAACGTTCAGAGCTGAAGGCCACAGTGCCTGAGGTGGGAGCACACGGGACAGAATCAGCAGCATAGCTAACACCGTGGAGGAGGCCAGCGGGCTAGGACACAGCGCGCAGGACCAACGAAGCAGACGTCCAGAGTGAAAAATAGCCTCAGCAAATGAAAAGGGCTTCAGTGAGCGGCGGAACAGCTTCTCGGTACACATGGAGCCAGAGCCTCCCCAAGGCGGGTGGGGCAGAGGCGATTCTGGAGTGAGCAGGAAGCTTCCAGGTTGGTAAAGCCCCCCTACAACGGACCCAGGGGGCTCCATGAACCCTGAATGCACACTTGCATGCACACATCGCCAGGCGCCTTGCAGTAAGAGCACCAAACCCCAGCAACCAAGAGACAACCTTGAAGGGACCCGGAAGCAAAGAGGCGCGTGGCACACAGCGAAACCGAGCAAGGCCTTCCCGCTGGGGGCGTGCGGAGCCCGGACTCGGAGGCGCCGGAACCGCCCGGCACTCACACTCTTCACCCAGAAGAGCACCTTGCAAGAGCGAGGGAAAGGGCTCTGCAGGCGTTAGGAAGCTGAGGTCTCACCCCAGGCCACCCACCATGGCGGGGAATGCGGACAGACCTCGGACACGCACAAGGAAATGGCAGTGGACACACGGGCCTGAGGAGCAGGGGACGCCGGGAGCCAGACACCAGGCTCACCATCACAGCCTTTCTCAGAGGCCGCTGTTGTTCAAACAAACAGCACCATATTATGTTGTTTATTAGTAAAATACATGAGAGGAATGGAAGCGGATACTGGGAGGTTCTCCCCACAGGCCCTGAAGCGATGTTCGTCAGGAGGGCCTGCCCCAGAACAAGCACAGGGCCCAGGCCCAGAAGACGAGCGTGGCCGCCGGGCAGAGCCCACCGAGGAGGAGAGGCCGCTTCCTACGCACACCGCTGGCAACAGTGACAGGCCCACACACCAAGAAGAAAGAGCCCAACCCCACCTCCTACCATGCACCTGAATCTATAGACTACAACAGGAGACATGGAGTGTCTGGGTGGGGCATGGATTTCACACGTGATAAACAACCCTCCCACCAACGCAGGAGACCTAAGAGATGTAGGTTTCATCCCTGGCAAGGGAAGATCCCCCGGAAAAGGAAATGGCAACCCACTCCAATATCTTTGCCTGGGAAATGCAAATGGACAGAGGAGCCTGGTGGGCTATGGTCCATAGGGTCACAGAGTCAACACAACTGAAGCAACTTAGCACACACATAGACAAAATAATTGATAAACTGAACTGAGAGTAACAGAATACACTATCTGATAAAGGACTTCTATCTAGCATACACAGAACTCTCCAAACTTGAGAATAAGATAAACAATCCAGTAAAAAAATGAAAAGACCTGAAAAGAGAGAAAGACCCAGCATGTCTGTAAGAGCAGCAGAGCGTGGAGCAGCCAGACCCGCCCACTGCAGGGCTGGCCGCAGCCCACACGCAGGACAAGCAGGCGGCCCCACGCAGCCACAGAGAGGGAGCCAGGCCAGCACCCGGGCAGGACTGCAAGGAGAAAGGTCGAGAGGGCCGCTCGGCAACACGAGGCAGAAGACTGGCTGTGTGCGGTTTGGGGGCTGGTTACGTCTGGTTAAGAAGGACTAGTCATGTCTGTTAGGGGACTCGTTCTCAGGTATCTGGTGTGTATGATTAAGAAGCACTGGTTATGTCCGCGTCAGGCGTGTTCAGTATTCCCAGGTAAGGGCGTATCTTGGGCCCGGGGGCCCCCAGCAGCAGTGCCCTTGGTGGGGTTACTGCTCCCAGGCTCTGTGGGAGGGTCCTCTTGCAAAGCAGCCACCGCTCCCATCCTGTCTTCACATGGTCCACTTGGGGCTCTGAGCAGAGGGATGGCTGTGCCTTTCTGCCTTACTCCATCATCAACGCCATGGACTTGTGGCCAGCTTCCTACTTACGGCTGTGGTAACTCTGCAAAGGTGGACACAGCTCACGAGCATAGCCCGTCCGTGTCCCGGGAACCCTGTCCCTCGCCTGGGAGGCAGCACACAGGTTCATGCCAGAGCAGGCCACCACCCACTGGTGCTGGGACCCCCGAAGCCTTCCCAAGATGAGACTCCCCTTCAGCTTCATCAGAAGTGCCTGGTGCTGCCTGCAAGCGAACTCCCCCACCAACACACAGCCGAAGGCTGTTCCCAGAGAGCCCAGCGCCTCAGCACCTCAGCCCCGGGGTGGGGTGCCTTGGGCCACAGTCCCCACCACAGACACCGGAGTCAATGTCTCTAAACTTCTGGAAACACAGCTCCACCCGAGGCAGGTCTCAGGGCCTGTGCCCCTTGGTTCACACCCAACTACTGGCTGACACAGGAGATCACACTGGGTCAGCACACACTGGCGACTGGACAGGAAGAGGTCAGGGCAGGCGCTAGGATGCGGCCTCCACGACCAATGTGCCGTCAGCCACCCTACGTCCGCCTGTCCTCCAGGCCCTCCTGCCAGGGGAGACTCACGTTGTCCCGGATGTTGATGTCGGACCCCTTGGAGAGCAACAACTTCACGAGGTCCACGTGTTTGTACTCAGTGGCCCAGATCATGGGTGTCCAGCCGCCATCATCCTAATTTCAAAGAAAAAGAAAAACCTATCACAGCCCCTGGATGTGCAAGGAGAGACAGTCATCACTCAGGACCTGAGAGTGGCCCCGGGGAGGGGGTAGGAGTGGGGGCCCCGTCCTGCTAAAGGAAACTGAGGTTCGGCGCACTGCCCAGGGACCCTGGGGAGTGCAGGCAGGCCACCTGGGAACCAACACACCTGCGCCCTGGACAGCATCACCTACGAAAGGGGCCAGGACACAGCAGGGCCGGGGTAGAGCACAGGGCCGGGGCAGAGAGCAGGGCCGGGGGCAGAGCGCAGGGCCGGGGGCAGAGCGCAGGGCCGGGGCAGAGAGCAGGGCCGGGGGCAGAGAGCAGGGCCGGGGACAGAGTGCAGGGCCGGGGGCAGAGAGCAGGGCCGGGGCAGAGCGCAGGGGAGGGGGCAGAGAGCAGGGCCGGGGGCAGAGAGCAGGGCCGGGGCAGAGCGCAGGGCCGGGGGCAGAGTGTGCCTGGCTGGTGGGAGGCAGCGACCAGCACACACCTGCCCACTCGGTGGTCCCAGGAGAGACCACGCACAAGGCATGAACTACAGACGCCAGATCAGAGGCTGAGGAGCCCGTGAAGGAGGGCAGGGAGCAGAAGCCCACCCAGCTGACCCCGCCCACCAGTGAGGCCGCAGTTCTGCCCAGCCGGCTGCCCCTCTACCCTGCCCCCATCCTACTCAGCGGTCCCGGGGGTTTATTTAAACCAGGAGCAGCTCGGAGCCAACAAGGACCACATGGCCAATTCCTCCTCTGGCGGCCAGAGGCTCAGTCCCTGGCAACACAACTTGCTGCCTGCTCTAGTCACCGCATCTTCCTGTGGACACACTTGGCCTCCACGACTGAAGTTAGACGGTGCCCACAGACCTGTTGCGGGACTGGGTACATGGCAGGGCAGCACAGCCCAGTCCGCCCGGGCAGGAGATGAACCTGAGCCAAGGGAGGGGGCCCGCAGGGGCACAAACCTCACTGCAGGGAGCGGCGCCGCGGTCCGTCCGGGAGAGCCCGCAGCAGAGCCAGCACACGGGGCACGCTGTGATGGAGGTGGTCACCCCAGAACCACAGTCTTGTGTGGGGTCCCAGGGGGTGGGAAGGGGTCCCTGAGAGTTGGGAGAACCCTTCCTTGCACCCTCATCTTCTCCCCCAGCCCCTCACAGGTCAGGAGATGTACACGGGAGCTACTCTGTGCTGGGCACTGCAGGACACCCCAGAGTCCTGACAGCAGCTGGACAGACAGGCAGACGCAAAGCAAGCACACGGCGCTGGAAGGGAAGGCGAGGAGCCCAGGGCAGCTCGGCCCATGGAGGCTGGGGCCCCGCTCGAACGGCAGTGCCTGAAGACGGGCCTCTAGGAGGCCAGTGAGCCAGCAAGCAGGCCAGGAGGCGGACAGGCTGGGGAGAAGAGGCCAGGTCTCCAGGCTCTGCAGAGGTGGCCCTGAGAACAGGCAGGGCCAGGACCATCGCGAGGACTCGTCTCAGGTCAAGCCGAGCCCGTGAGGCAGCATCAAGAGCGGACGGGGCGTTTACCTGACAGTTGACGTCCATCTGTCCGTTTGAGAGCAGGTACTGAACCACGTCGTAGTGGCCTTTCTTGGCAGCCAGGTGCAAACAGGTCGAGCCCTCTGCGTCCTGTAACACGAGAGCCGCTGAGGTCCCACAGCCGACAGGCCCCGGGAGCCCTAGGGCGCTGAGCTCGCCCCACCTGACGCCCCATGGCGACCAAGCCCCAGGGCCCATCGGCAGGCGTCTGCTGGCTGGCCTTTGTCTCCATCTCCCAAGAACCTAAATCTACCTCAGCCACGGAACACCCAGCACCAGAGCCGCCACCCACCCCCCACCCCACCCTCCGAGTAGAGGCCAGACGGGGCGGGGGGACGCTCGCAGGTGGGTGCCCCCCCGAGGCTTTCACTACACAAGTGCGCATCCAGAAACAAAGACTTCGCGTGCTAAGCTGTAACATGTAGACAGACACCCTTCTGCAATCCACTCAGTCCCACGTCCTGAGGGCTCCGTTGGGCACATGCCGCACCTGCTCACTTACACTCGCTGATGTTGGGCAGCCCAGCCTGTGTCGCTGGTCAAGGAGAACTGGGCTGCCAGGACTTCCTCTTGTGCAAGACGAACCAAATGCTGCGACGTGTCTCCTCAGTGCCCTGTGACCCTGACCCGGAGACCCCCGCCCCACAGCAGTGACGTGCGCTCCTCCCCGGGGGGCTCAGCTGTGGGCTCCACAGGACCCACGGCCAGGGATGGGGGCTGCCTGACCGCCCTCCACCTGCAGGAGGCCCGCCGCACTGTGCGGCCCCTCCCGTGCTCCACTGGTCTTCTGTTCAACAGAAACACGAAAATCTCTTTTTTTTTTAATATGGACCATTTTTTAAAGTCCTTATTGAATTCACTGCAACACTGCTTCTGTTACCGTCTCTTGGCTCTGAGGTATGTGGGATCTCAGCTCCCTGACCAGGGTCTGGACCTACACCCCTGCACTGGGAGGTCGAATCTTAACCACCGCACCAGGGAAGGCCTGGAAATCCTGAATTCTGACGCTCTCAACAGTATCAACCTCTTCTGTACTTTTTTGTGTCCTGCTGAGGAAACCCTTCCCTCTTTGCCTCCGAACGCTCTATGCCCTCACCTGCTGCACTTGACTCTTCTGTTCACCACATGCCTGACGCGCCTTCACCCTGCTCACTCCTGCCTGGTCATGAGTGTTGTCTGTGTTAGCATGCTGTGTCAGCGTGTTCTATCCATGTGTTAGCATGTGCTCTCCACATTCAGTGCCATGTTAACATGTAATCTCCATGTGTCCCCGGGTGTTCTCTATGTGTGCTCTCCATGTGTTCGGGTGCGATTGCTATGTGTTCATGGGTTCTGTGTTAGCGTGTGCTCTCCGTGTTCACTGTGCTGTTAGCACACGCTCTCCCTATGTTCACATGTGCTCTGTGTTAGCATGTGCTCTCCATGTGTTCATGTGTGCTCTCCATGCTAGTGTGTGCCCTACATGGTCACTGTGCTGTGTTGGGGTGTGCTCTCCATGTGTTCATGGGTTCTGTGTTAGCGTGTGCTCTCTGTGTTCACTGCGCTGTTAGCACACGCTCTGCATATGTTCACAAGTGCTCTGTGTTAGCGTGTGCTCTGTGTCACTGTTCTGTGTGCTCACTGTGCTGTGTTAGCACGCGCTCTCCGTGTGTTCGCATGTGCTTTCCACATGTTCACATGTGCTCTCTGTGGAAGCAGGGCTGGCTCTCGTCTGTTCACCGGCTCAAACATCTCCTCAGGCTGCAGGGCTTCATCCTTTGATGCTAGACAGAACTACGACGTGGTGAGGGTCAGATGACCATCTTGCTGTGGGCCCACCTGTTTTTACTCCTCTTTTCCTGCTTTGCAGTCACAAAGTACTAAGATTCCATTTTACTTCCTCTACTACCTTTAAAAAATATTTCCTTAAAGCTATGCTTCTTTTAAGTTACTCCTCAGTACTCTGCAAGATCACAACTTCCAACTGTCCACAGCTCACAGCAGCACTGCCTGCTCCCAGAACTGACCCCGAGGGCCATGTTCACACCGCTCCGCCGTCCCCTAGCTCCCACAGTCGTGTCGATGTCCTGTCTGTGTAAACTCCATCTCACAATACTCTTCTTCCTTTAAACAGCCTTCACCTTTTAATAAACTTACAGAAAATAAGTTTTTCTAACTCACCATTTCTGGTGTTTTCATTATTTCCAAGGATGAGATTTTCCTCCTGGCTTTACTGTAAATCTGCTATTAAGTTCTGTCAGTTTTTGTGCACCTGAAAATGTTTAATTTCACAATTGTTTCTGAAGGACACTTGTATTGTCTGTAGCATTCTGGACAAACATGTTTTTGGACTTTTTTTCCCCTTTCAGCACAATGAGAAAATCACTCCATGGTCTCCTGGCCCCTGTGGTTTCATATGCGAAGCTGGCAAGCACATGCGGTGTTCATTAACATGTGCTGTACCAGGCTGCTCTTCTGGGGCTGCATTAAGGCTTTCTGCAGTTAACATGATGAATTTCGGCATAGCAGCCTGTGCATTAGTCCAGCTTGGGGTTTGCTGAGATTCTTGAACCTGGAGGTTATTTTCATCAAATTTGGAAAATTTATGACCACTTTTCCTTCAGTGCATTTTCTTCCACTGGGTCTCCCTCGTTTCCGGGACTCTAACCACACAGACAGCTCAGTGTCATCCTACCGTCTGCCTCGCAGACAGACCATCTTCTGTGACTAGCCCTGGGTTTCACGGGCCGCTCTTTCTGTGGCACCGAAGAGCAGCTGGGCTCACCGGTGAACTGTCCACTCCAGGCCTGAGCCGGCCACCTGCCCTGCTGGCACAGCTGCTCCTACAAAGCCCTCAGCCCCGACCTCCTGCCTCCGCAGCAGTGCTTGGCTTGGGCACTGGCTCCAGCGGCGGGGCCAGGAAACTGTCCCCTGGCCAAGCACTAGGCAGAATTCACCCACCCATCCTAACGGAGGACTAACACTTACCTGCAGGCATTTATAGAGCAGCTAAAGGTTGCCAGATCTCAAAACCCACCAAAGCAAAGGACTAGATACTGCCTTAAAAAAACATCCATGACTCATGTAACTTTGTTGTTGTTCAGCTGTGAAGTTGTGTCCAACTCTTTGTGACCCCATGAAGTACAGCAAGCCAGGCTTCCCTGTCCTCCACTACCTCCCGCTGCTGCTGCCGCTGATAAGTTGCTTCGACTGAAGCGACTGTCAGACTCTGCGCAACCCCATGGACTGCGGCCTACCAGGCTCCTCCGTCCATGGGACTCTTCAGGAGAGAGTACTGGAGTGGGTTGCCACTGCCTTCTCCACTATCTCCTGGAGTTTGCTCAAAACTCATCTCCATTGGTTCAGTGATGCCATCCAACCATCTCATCCTGTGTTGCCCACTTCTCCTCTTGCCCCCAATCTTTCCCAGCATCAGAGTCTTTTCCAATGAGTCAGCTCTTCTCATCAGGTGGCCAAAGTATTGGGGCTTCAGCTTCAACATCAGTCCTTCCAATAAATATTCAGGGTTGATTTCCTTTAGGATTGATTGGTCTGATCTCCTGGCTGTCCAAGGACTCCCAAGAGTCTTCTCCAGTACCACAGTTTGAAACCATCAATTCTTCAGCACTCAGCCTTCTTTATTGTTCAACTCTCACATCCGTACATGACTACTGGAGAAACCATAGCTTTAACTATTCAGACCTTTGTTGGCAAAGTGATGTCTCTGCTTTTTAACATGTTCTCCAGGTTTGTCATAGCTTTCCTTCCAAGGAGCAAGTGTCGTTTAATCTCATGACTGCAGTCACCCTCCGCAGTGATTTTGGAGTCCAAGAAAATAAAACCTGCCACTGCTTCCACTTTTTATCCATCTATTTGCCATGAAGTGATGCAACTGGATTCCATGATCTTAGTTTTTTGAATGTTGAGTTTCAAGCCACATTTTTCACTCTCCTCTTTCAACTTCATCAAGAGGCTCTTTAGTTTCTCTTCACTTTCAGCCCTTACAAGTGGTATTATCTGCATGTCTGAAGTTATTGATATTTTTCCCAGTAATCTTGATTCCAGCTTGTGATTCATCCAGCCCAGCATTTCACATGATGTACTCTGCATATGTAAATAACTATATACAAAAAACTGTTTACTTTGACAGAAGCAAATTAAAATAATAAAAAAACTCATTTTTGCATATCAAACTGTGAGTATTTTTTTAACTGTAATGGTTGGTGTTGGTAAGAGTGCAGGGAAATGAGTACTCACATACTTCCAGGTGCATTTAAGAAAGAGGGATCAAAAGCCTTAAAAATCATTATATATCTTGACCCCAAAAATCCTTGACCAGAAAAAAATCTGTCTTAAACATGTGAAAAGACTTAGCTATGAAATGTCTGTTGAAGCATTGTGTATAATAAAAATTGATCATCCACATATTAAACGTGAATCTGGCAAAAATGATACAAATTATATCACGAAATATAACATAACCACTTGAAATAATGTTTAGAATAACATTTAATAACACAGAAAAATAGAATTTAATGGGAAAAAGGAGTTGATAAATTAGTATGAACTGTATGATGATTTTTCCAGTGGAAAAAATGTGTATTAATGTGAAAGGCTCTAAGATTTAACACTTTTATTGTTACTGTGTGTATCTAACCTAAACCTTGCCATTCTAACCATTTTTGAGCCACTCCATGGCCTCGTTAATTGCTCTACGAGCCATGCAACCATCACCACTCTGATCTCAGGACCTCCCACCAGCCCAGGCAGGAGCTCGGGCAGCACCACTCAGCCTGTCCCTGCCCTCACCCCGAGGGGCCTCATCTCTAAATCTGCCTGGTCAGCTTTCTCACGTAAGTGGAATCACACACTGCTCGTCGTGTGTCCGCTTCCTTGCGGGAGTGGAATCACACACTGTTCGTCCTGTGTCAGCTTCCTTCTCTCAGTGTACAGTTCTCAAGTTCACCCATGTTGCAGCTTGTGTTGGAATCTCCTTCCTTTTTGAAGACTGAACAATGCTCCACCTCAGGGATGGATCACATCTGGCTTATCCACCACACATCAATGGACCCTGGGGGGCTTCCACCTTTTGGTAACTGTAAACAACGTAGAGAAGCAGGTGTGTACACACCTGTCTGTCCTTGCTTCCTGTCTCCTTGGGTACACACCTTGGACTGGAATCACTGGATCATACAGTTAAAACTAAGTGTTTAATTTTTTTGAGGAACCACCAGACTATTTTCTACAGTTTTCACATCATTTCACATTTCCACCAGCAATGTATGAGAATTCCAACCTGTCCTCAACTTTGCTGGCACTTGTTTTCTGATATTTAGACAACAGTTGTCCTATGGGGTCTCGCTGTGGCTTTGAATGCATTTCCCTAAAGACTAATGATGTTCAGCATCTTTTCATGTGCCAACTGGCCATTCAAATATAAGTATCTTCCCTGATATCTGCTCAAACTCTGCCCACTTCTGAGCTGGGCTCCAGTCTGTTGTCGAGTAGCAGGACATGTCTATATGATTTGGAGAGTGAGGCCCAGCAGATACAGAATTGATGAATATTTCCCTCTCCTGGGGGGTGGTTTCTTCACTCTCCTTTGATGGACCAAAGTTTTAATTTTGATAAAGTTTAAGTTACTTATTTTCTTCTCATGGTGTCACGTTCAAGAAATCACTGCCAAATCCAATATCACATAGATTTCTCTGTTTTCTGTCAAGTGTTTTACAATTTTAGCTCTTGAATGTAGGTCTTTGATCCCCTTGGGTTAACTTGTGAATACACAATAAGGAAGCAGCCCAGACTCACTCTCCTGTGGGTGGAAGTCCAGTTTTCCCAGCACTTGTGGTGGAAAGATACCCTCTCCTGCCACTGGATGGTCTGGCCCGTAACAGAAATCACCCAATGCTGTCTGCAGGGTGCACTTAAGGCTCTCTCTGCACCACCCCACACGTCCATCTCTACACAGCTCTCCATCTGCTGCTCCACGCGTCCGTCTCGAGGCAGGTACCACACTCTTTGGATTACTGCAGCTCTGTCCTAAGTTCTGAAGTCAGGAAGTATGAGGCCTCCAGCGTTGCTCTTTGGTAAGACTATTTTGACTCTTCAGAGTTTCTCTATAGACAACAGTGCTGGGATTCTGACAGGGACTGCACTGATCTGTAGGTGGTTCTGGGCAGTAAGACTTCCTAACAATACAGTCAGCACTCGGTGCCCACAGATGTAGAACCACAATGAGGAGGGCTGATGGTCACAGTCTCATCAAGGGACTGGAGCACCGGTGGGCTGGAATCTGTGGGGGTCCTGCAATCGATCCCCTGCAGATAACAAGGGATGAAAATACTGCCTGCTTCTACTCCACAAACATAGGATAATTTCCATTTATCTGTGCCTTTTTAAATTTCTCTCAGCATTGTTTTAGTGTACAAATCTTTTACCTCCTTGGTTAAGCTTATTCCAAAGTATTTTATTCTTCTTTATGCTACTGAAATGGAACTGTGTTCTTAATTTGCTTTTTGGATCATTCACAAGCAGAGAAATACAACTGATACTTCTGTACTGACTTGATATATTAAACTTTCTCAAATGCACTTATCAGTACCGACAAGTCTCCGGGTGGACTCTTCATGACTTTCTACATACAAGAGCATGTCATCTATGCACAGAGATTATTTTTCTTCCCCTTTCCAATATGGATGCCTCTTTTTCTCTTTCTCCAGTTGCTGTTGTTCAGTTGCCAAGTCACATCTGACTCTTTACGACCACATGGATGGCAGCACACCAGGTCCTGTCCTTCACCATCTCCCAGAGTTTGTCCAAGTTCATGTCCACTGAATCAGTGATGTCATCCAACCATCTCATCCTCTGTAGTCCCCTTCTCATCCTGCCTTCAATCTTTGCCAGCATCAGGGTCTTTTCCAATGAGTTGGTTCTTTGCATCAGGTGGCCAAAGTATTAGTTTCAGCATCAGTCCTTCCAATGAATATTCAGTGCTGATTTCCTTTAGGACTGACTGGTTTGATCTCCTTGCTGTCCAAGGACTCTCAAGAGTCTTCTCCAACACAATTCAAAAGCATCAGTTCTTTGGCGCTCAGCGTTCTTTATGGTTCAACTCTCACACCCATATGTGACTACTGGGAAGACCGTTAGACTTAACTACATGGGCCTTTGTTGGCAAAGTGGTGTCTTTGCCTGTCTAGGTTTGTTATAGCTTTCTTTCCAAGAAGCAATCATCTTCTAATTTCAAGGCTGCAGTCACCAACCACAGTGGTTTTGGAGCCCAAGAAAAGGAGATCTGTCACTGCTTCAACCTTTTCTCCTTCTATTTGCCATGCAGGGATGGGACCACACAACATGATCTTAGTTTTTTTCATATTGAGTTTTAAGCCAGCTTTTTCACTCTCCTCTTTCACCCTCTTCAAAAGGCTGTTTAGTTCCTTTTCACTTTCTTCCCTTATGGTGCTATCATCTGCATAACTTGAGGTTGTTGATATTTGTCCCAGCAATCTTAATTCCAGCTTGTGCTTCATCCAGCCTGGCACTTCACATGATGACAACTTTCCCGAAAAAGGGTTCCGAGCAGCAGACGGGAGAGAGGAGGTGCCCACCGTGAAGGACAGAGCCGGACTCTCCGCACACAAACACTCACTGGTGCTGGTCTGCGGCAGGCTCCGTGCAGCCAATGCTCACAGTACCTCATGAGTAAACTGCCGCTGGACAAGCTGCGCTGCCTACTTCCAGACACCTGTGGGTGGCCGGTGGCCGCCAATCCCTGAGGGCGTCCCCGGGAAGCGGCCCTACTCCTCCTCATAAGCAGCCCTACGGGGAGTGGGGTGCGTGTGGAGGATACCTTGGGATCCACGAGGGCCCCGGCCTTGATGAGGTACTTCACCGCGTCCAAGTGGTTGTTCTCCGCCGCCTCCATCAGCGGGGTCCTCTGGTCCTCGGAGCAGGTGTCGATGTTGGCTCCCGCCTGTGAGAAGAAGGACAGACACTCAGCCTGCAGCCACACCAGGGAGGAGACACCCCCCGGGCTCCGACAGTGCAGAGCAGGGAGCACAGGGGTACGTTCTGTCTGTCTGCCGACTGAGCCTGAGGCTCCAAAGTGACAGTTCTATTTTCTGTCAGGAAGAGCTTTCACTTCTCAGTTAACTTGGAAAAGATAGCAACATCACTGACAATCCCTTAGAAATAAGAAAGTGAGACCCCAGAGCAGACAAAGAAGAGGTGAGGAGAGGGTCTCTGCAAGGTGGGGCCAGGAGATAAGGGGACCAGCTTGCAGTGACCTGGAGCTCTTTCTGGGCTGTTTAATGCTCGCTGAAATAAACTGAACAAAAATTCATCTCCAGCATGTATTTTCTAGTAGTGGGTATACTTAAAAACTAATGAGCGAGCAGGAGTCCTTGGGTAAATTATGTCTAAAATGCAGACGCCCAAGGTGAGTTGTCCACTCAGAGCAAAGCAACTATTTGGCAGCTGAACCTTTTCTATGTGGGGGAGAAACTAACTTCTTAGACTAGTGTATGAAGAGCTAACACCTACAAGGCTGTTTTTATTATTTGCAATTAAAACACAAGAGTAAGGATTTAGTGAGAAACTTAAAAGCAGATGGAGAGTGGCACACGGAAGCCAGGGGCTGAGCAGCGGGGGCTGGAAGGAGACCCGCTGGCCTCCAGGCAGAGCCTCGGGCGGAGCACGGGCAGCAGGTGGTAAACACATGCTAAACACGCACGGGACACCGGTCCAAATTGGGCAGGGCGGAGCCAGGACCCCCAGAGCAACCTGGAGGAGCACACACGTGAGGGGCAGGCAGGGTGGAGCACTGCACGGGGCCCAGTAGGCCAGCATGAGGTCAGCCAGTCTGCCCGGGTGCACAGGCAGGATGAGCCTCTGCCGGTGGAAGGCCAGGCAGCGCCTGTGACTGGGGGCACACACCTGGCAAGACTCCCCCAGACCCCCAGCCACCCAGAGCCCTCAGGGGGTAGGCAGCCCCAAAGGCAGGGGCCCAGGTCTGAGAGGGCTGCACAGGCTGATGGGCAGGAGCGGAGGCAGGGGCCGCGCTGCAGAGCGTCAGGGTCAGAGGGACATCTCCCCCGCCCCAGCACCAAGACCCCGGGACCGCGAGGACTGGTGCTCCGTGCACTTGTCTGAAACCCAAGCCAGTCGTGACCCACCCAACCGGCGGCATGGAAGCCCCACACAGGACAGGTGTGCAGCCCAGGACCACAGCAGGGAAGCCAGCCCGAAGGTGACTGACTGTCCCAGGGAGAGGTGGGGTGCCCGGGAGATGACACCGAGCCATCTGAAACACAGGAGGAGGGGGATGGCGGGTGAGCCCCCAGAGAACGGGGCGGCACGTGTCAGGGCAACAGCCGCTGCTCTTCCTCCCCTGGGCCCCGAGGCTGCAAGGACAGGCACCTTCCTCATCAGAAGACTCCCCGCTCACAGCCGGCACCAGGTCAGAGCAGAGCACGCGGGAGGACCCGATCAAACCTCCTGGAAGGACGGACAGGGTCAGAGCCAGGAAAGACAGACATGCAGGAGAGACGGACAACTGGCAAGGGAGGCCAGAGCAGGGGCCACCGGCGTGGGGACAACCAGGTGGGGTCAGAGGCTGGGACTGGCCAAGTCCACTGCAGGGCATGGAAGGCAGCACCCGATGGGTCTCCTTTAGCTCAATGGCTGCAGTGCTGCAGCTGCCTAGTTGGAGCTGCTCCCATTGAGACCTTGGCATGGAAATGAGTCAGGCCAGGGATGACCAAAAACACTCTTCACAGGCGCCCCCTACCCTGACCACACCGTGAGCAAGGGTGCTTCCTGGCTGCCTGGGGCCAGGAGAGGGCACAGGGCCGGGGCCAGAGCCCGCCGGGAGGAGGGCACAAGAAGCAGGCACCCCGGGGAGCTGGGCCTCCAAGAAGCAGCACCGTGGGGTCCAGGGCGAAGCAGAGCGAGCCCACCCGCCGCACACGCGGGGCTCTGGGGAAGGGCGGCCCGCCTTGGGAGTGCCCGCCTGAGAACCTCACCTGAGAGGCGCCCAGCTGCCATACCTCCAGGCTCGGACACACAGTGCGGAGCCGCAAAGATCACTAACGTGTGCAGTGCGGGCTCTTTCTAAGCCCAACGCGTAACATGTTATTCTCCAACAGTTTACAACTCAAGAGAAGCTGCAAAACAGAACACAACACACCTGTGCTCCCTCCCAGGACTGTTTCCTCAATCATGGCCTGTGGGCAGAAGCAGGAATGGGCAGTGGGTCAGCGAGTGGCCCCCAGGCCCTGCTGGGTCCCCCGGGTCTGAACAACCCCTTAGGTTGTTGCTCTTTGAATGAAAGAAGGCAAACAAGTCACACCATGTGGAGTTCAGAGGTGGAGAGAGCTCAGTCGTGTGGCCGAGGGTACCTGCAGGGCAGTGAGCCCACAGAGACACACACGTGGTCATGATGACGCCATCCTCAGAGCTGCCCGAGGAGGGGACATGGTGCTTCAGGGGAGAAGCAGACCAGGCCAGTTCCCTTAGAGCCACTAAGATGAACCAAGATGCTTACATCTTAGACTCTTCTTTATTAATCACACAGGCTTTCCTGGTGGCTCAGCGGTAAAGAATCCACCTGCCAATGCAGGACTCTTTACACCCTGGGTCAGGATCAATGCCTGGGTCAGGAAGATGCCCTGGAGAAGGAAATGGCAACTCACTCCAGTATTCGTGCCTGGGAAATCTCATGGACAGAAGGGCCTGGTGGGTTGCACACCACAGGGTCACAAAGAGTAAGACATGACTTAGCAATTAAAACAACAACAAATATGTACACACATAAATATTTTAATGTTAAAAAAAAAGTGGGGTCTTCCCTGTAGGCTGAGTGGTAAAGAATCCATCTGCCAATGCAGGAGACACGTGTTCAATCCCTGACCTGGGAAGATTCCGTAAGCTACGGAGCAACTAAGCCCATATGACACAACTACTGAGCCTGCGCTTGAGAGCCTGGGAGCTGCAAACAGCGGAGCCCACGCACCTCACCTACCAAGGCCCAAACACTCAGAGCTCGCACTCCACAGCAAGAGAGGCCACCGCAGAGACGCCCAAGCACCGCAACTAGAGAAAAGGCAGAGCAGCAGTGAAAACCCAGCTCAACTCAGTGCAATCGCTCAGTCGTGTCTGACTCTTTGCAACACCATGGACTGCAGCACGCCAGGCCTCCCTGTCCATCACCAACTCCCGGAGCTTACTCAAACTCACATCCATTGAGTCAGTACTACCAAAAAAAAAAAAGGTAAATAAATAAATTTTTTCAAAAAGGCGGAATTTCCCTGGTGGCTCAAACGGTAAAGCATCTGCCTGTGGTGTGGGAGACCTGGGTTTGATCCCTGGGTTGGGAAGATCCCTTGGAGAAGGAAATGGCAACCCATTCCAGTATTCTTGCTTAGAAAATCCCCATGGACAAAGGAGCCTGGTTGGGCTACAATCCCTGGGTTCGAAAAGAGTCAGACACGACCGAGCAAATTCACTTTTGTTTCTTTCTTTCAAAAAGGTGGGGGGATATAGGTCCTTTCAAAGGAGTGCAGAGCTGCCTCCTCTAAAGGAAGAAGGAAGTCAGAAGAGGCGGCAGCAGAACCCAGCTGCATGCTATTTAAACAGGTCCATCCAAACGAGCCCCTGGCCCGCCCAAGCCAAAGCTGAGAGGTATCTGAGAAGCAGGTCTCAGGCATCAGAAATCTAAACCAACAGGTAAACCTACTGTAAACATCAATGCAAAAGCAGGCTCCACACTTACACACAACCCTATCCTATGTGCACAGCGCCAGTGAGGAGGCGGGGACAGGATGGAGCCGCCGTGACCACACACAGGAGGCCAGCAGGTGGTGACAGGTGCCCCGAGGCCCCAGCAGAGGCACACTGTGCCCCCAGACCCAGAGCCCTCCTGGGACCCCAACACGAAAACTGCCAGCTGACAGGCCCAACCAAGAGCCCACCTCCTGCATTTCAGCCCTTTCCTTTTCACACAAACAAGCCAGCACCAGGCATTTGGGGAAAACCTGAAATGAGAAAAGACTAGAACAGAGTTTCCAGCACTGCAGGGAGACCCAGAGGTCACTGGGAAGGATCTCTCAGGGAGAAGAAAAGACCCAGGAATTCAAATGAGGCAGCACAGGTGAACCCCCATTTGAGGTGAACCCCCAAAAGGAGCTGAGGGTCATGTGGAGCAGTGCCTAAGAAAGTGGACTCAAAGGATACAGAGCTGGAGAGAAGGTGCGCCAGGTAAACACAGGTGCTCAGGGAGGGCCCCAGAGCCCAGACAGAAAACCCCCCAGACTGGGCTGGGGGCTGAGCAGCAAGTCTAGACCCACGAGCAAAAGGAAATTTCCTGAAGGATCCAGAGATGAAGAGCCAGCTGAAAGGTGGCCTCCGGGGAACAGAGGTCCCACAGGGCCTGGGATGGGGGGGACCTCCCAGAGAGACAGCGCTGAGAGTGGGCGACACACTTTCAGACAACACAGAGGCCAGTGTGCCTGCTGGGTGGGGGGTGCCCCTCATACAACCATGGGATATTCACAGGACCACAGGACGCAAGCTCTCACTGCAGGAGGTGGGCAGAGGAGCATGTGTGCACGCCTGGGCTGAACCCCCAGCATGGGAAGTTGGCGACGCTAAAACCCAAAGTGAACGAGAACCAGTCGGGAAACAGCGAGCAGCACGCAACCCTCGGGACCAGCAGCCAGGCCAGGCCCTCGCTGCCGCCACAGACCGCACCCAACCTGGATCAGCATGTGGCAGATGTCCACGTGGCCAGCCTCCGCCGCGGCATGCAGGGGCGAACGTTTGTTCTGATGCTCCATTTTGAAGTTGGGGTCAATCCCGTCAACTGCAAACAAACAGGAGGTGCCAATCACTCATCAGGCACAACCCCAGCACCCAGGCGGGCCGGTCCAGGGTGGGGAGGTCCCTGGGGGATGGCAGGCAGGCTGTGGTCAAAGGCCCTGGCACCATGCCTAACTCTGGGCCCCTGGCTCTCCCGTGTCCCCTGGCCAGCCTCTGCCCAAACATGAGACTGGAGGGGCCCCAGGATGGATGCTCCATGGGAGCAGGACCCCCAGGCCAGGCCCTAAGGGGAGGCAATTACTGAGTGCAGCTCCCAGCCTGGCATGGACACGGGCCATGAGGTTAACCCTGGAGCAACCTCCGTATTACACAAGGTCTAATTGGAAAATGACAAAAATTGCCACTTTGGTCAACGTAAAATAAAACCTTTTTTTCCCCAGATCAAACTGCTACAATTGTTTCTTGACTTCCTGTTAAGTAAAGAGATTCTGCATCCACCTTCTCCAGCCCAAAAGTCAAGCCTAAGCTGTGAGCTCAGAAGCAAACTGCTGCCTGCTTCTCAGCACCCAGTGGGTCAGAACCACAGCAGCAGGACTCGCTGACAGCACGGGTGTCCCAGGCTGCTCTCGACACGGAAGGCACGGGTGTGTTCACACGGCACAGAGCCTGGCTCACTGACCACGCTCCTACTGATTCCACAGCACTTCTTAATAGTCACATGCCTCATTCCTGCTAATTCCGAGAGAATACACCCACTGCTGTGACTGAGCATGAACATGGCAAACAGGCTGAACCCCAGGGGCGGCCTGTGTGCGCCGACCAGAGAAGTGGAACAGGGCGGGACACGGCGGGCAGTCCCTGCGAGGACAGAGGCGTCTTCGCCCACCTACCCAGCATGAGCAGCACCTTCTGCAGCTCCCCTTGCCGCGCCGAGAAGTACAGCTGCTTCGGGTGGAAGCGGAGCTTCTTGGGTCTGCGGAGAGAGCACGGGTCAGCAGGAAGCACAGCTCCCCCACCACACATGTACACGCGGACACACACACACCCCCACACACACCCCCACCTGCAGGCTGGGGCGGCCTGGTGACTCCTGGGGGCGCCCACGTCTTGGGGGTGCACATGGCGGGCACGTGAGGCCGTGGTGCGTGCAGACACCTGGGGGATGGGGACACCCAGGAATGCAGTGGGGGCCTCGCGCAGGAGGACAGGGGAACGGAGGCTGCAGGAAGGGCTTACTTCTCGGAGTCCAGGGCGATGAGTGCGCTCTCCAGGGTCTCCTTCCCGGGCCCCTGAGAGAGGCCCGGCGCCGGCTTCCCCAGCCCAGCCGGCCCGGTGGGGTCGAAGCCCTCCGGCACCTGGGGGGCCAGGCTCTGCGGCTTGTCATCCTCGGAGAGCAGGGAGCCAGCAGCGCTTCGGGGAGGAGGAAATAAGTGGAATTTTGAGTTATAGAGACATGCAAACTACTCCCTCCTGTGGAAACCAATGAATACACAAAACAGGGCCCCTCAGACCCCCACCTGTGCTGCTCCTCTGAGACGGAAAACGACCTTGGGCTCATTGACTGTCCACTCTGGGCACAGAGGGAAGCGCCCAGAGGCAGACCAAATCCCCGGGGAACAGAGGACACTCAGAAGCGAGGGCAGCCTTTCCTGGACTTCTGGCCAAATGTTCACATTTGCTTTAGAGAATGAACTCCAGGTGAATCTCAAGTCCACTGCCTGACCAACACAAGGAACACCTTGGAATTTTGACTCAAAGAGCATTAAATTTACAGATTAACATAATTAATTCACAAAAATATGATGGCATCAACACCATCCCAATACTAAGTTTTGAATGTTTACAATCTAAGCCTCTTGAATAACCTTCAGTGGACTTTTAGTTACAGGTTAGGGTAGGTCATGAGCTGCTGCTGTTTTGAAGGCTCTCCTTCACCCTGGCTTCCAGCTGGACAGGCTGGTGAGGACAAGGCTTCTGACACCTTTCCTTAACTGATCATCTGGCTGACTGACTCCAATTAGCTCTATGAGTTCTTCAGCTATTTCCACCTTTTAGGAAGAAAACTATATGCTTGCAATACAAATCCTTCTCTTGTAGACCGTTTCCTGTGTGTTCAGCTAGGGTCTCCAAAACACAACACAGTAACAGCGGACTATATAGCAGCTGATACTGACGTTCCACATCGTACACGTACACACAGGTACATGCAGATGGGGACAGGCACGCACCAGCACTGCTGTCTCAGGGAGCACTGTGCTTCAACACAAAACACTGACACATATCACTGAGGACAGTGCGACACAGCTTCACACACAGGCGAATGAGTGTGCAGAGGTGATGCGTGCACAGTGCAGTGAGCAAACGCAAGTCAGCATGCCTCCCAGCCTCATGTGTCAGAGCTCATGGCACGTGCGCCAGCAGGGAAGCCCCCGACACGCTGGGGACGTCGGGCCTCGTCAGGTGGACCCTGAGGGCTGGGGGCACGTACCTGCCCGTGGTGGTGTCGGCTCTGCCCTCCACTGCACAGCTCTTCTCCTGCCCAGGGGCCAGGGTCACCGTGGAGGTCGTGTCTGCCTTTGCAATGGTCACCTCTTTGGCCTTGGAGGTCTCCTCCCCACAGTGGGGACAGTAGCTGGCATTATTGACTCGAGAGGCACAGGCTTTGTGGAAACGATGAGAAATGCTGCTCTCAGGCTGACATTCCATAAAATTACCCTAAAGACGGGAAGGAGACAAGTCATTCTTCTAACTGGGACTAAAATGCAGAAAAGCAAGTGAACCCGAGGTGCGGCACCGGGCGGGACAGGAAGTCGGCGCAGGGAGGAGAGGACGGCCTGCGGCCCTGCGCCCTCCCGAGGTGTGTCCACTCGTGTCCTGCTGGAAGCGGAGGGCATCCCCACCCCTGCGCCGCGCTCTGCACCGCGCTGCTCAGAGGGTGGGCCGTGTGTAAGACCAGGTCCACAGGAGACCCACGGAGGACACACCCGGGAAGCAGACTCACAGACCTGAGAGCTGGCAACAGCCCTCAACAGAACCCACCCAACCGCAGGGTGGGTGCGGGGGTGGATAGCGGGACCCGGGGCCATCTTTCAACAGAAGCAAAAAAGGATGTTGAGGACAGGGAGGGCACAGAGCTGTGGCATCTGGAGAAGCCCCAGGAGAGAGGCTCTCGGCCCGGAGCACAAAGGGCCATGTGGAGCCCATGAGCCCAAGAGAGGCCGTGGGCATCTGTGGCCGAGCCCCCGAGGAAGACGGCCCGGGGCACTGTGGTGAGCACACGGGGGCGGGGTGGGGGGGGCGCAGGCGGCCCTGCCGGGCAGACCCAGGAGCAGTGGGGGGAGACTGGGGGCCTGGCGCCCTGGAGGTGGGCGGCACTCACGGCCGTGCAGAAGTAGCCGCAGCCGGGGCAGCACTGGTGCTTCACCATCCGGCCCCGGTGGTCCTCACACAGCACCAGCAGCGGCGCCTTGCTGGACGGACGCATCAGCTCATGCTTCACCACACTGTTCGTGCACCTGCCCAGCTGCCATCAGAAGAGACCAGGTCAGCACACCACACCCAGCACGGGGTGGGGGGGTGGGGGGCGCGCAGGAAAGCAAAGGGGGCAGGCGGCCCAGACCTCCACGTCCACCCAGCCCACCAGGAGAAACAGGTCAGGTGACAATGGGTCCAGGGAGAGTCGATGGCCCCCCCACCCCTGCACAGAAATCAGGAGTGTGCTGGTTGCACGACTGTGTGTCTCTGTCACACGTGTGACAGAGAGACACTCTGAAAGAGGCAACCTCAAGCGTGTGGACAATGCCTTGGTAAAGTTCACGGGAAGGAGATGAGGGAACCAGCTCTGAGGGCATCAGCTGGTGAGGCCGAAGTGGCCTGGGCATTCAAAGAGAGAAATATTTGGGGGAAAATAACAGCAGCTTAAGAATTCCCTAGAATCCCACAAAAAAACCAGAGCAATTAGACAGCAAAACCAAAACCAGAGATGACATTTAAATCAAAACCAAAGGCCACAGGATGCAAGTGGGTGGGGTGGGCCTTGAGACACCAGTGTCCGGGCGGGGGACGGGGCAGTATCCCATGGACCCTGGGCAGGTCTTCCCTGTATCCGAGAAGAGCGGGCAGCCTGGGAGATACTGCCCAACCCCAGCAAGTCCGGCTGAGGACCTGGGGCCAGCACGGGCCAGCCACAAGGAGCCCTCAAACCCAACCTGCCAGACGCCCCTCGAGTCAGGGCACAAGGACTCCTGGATAGAGCTGAGCAGAAAGGAGGCAGGACCGGACAAGAGAGAGAGGAGGACGGAGAACGGCATCCGCAGAGTCCCTGACTGCAGCGCGCCTGTGCACCCTGAAGGCCCAAAGAGCTCTGCCCAAGTGCAGTACACCCATTAATATTGACTGTGTTAGAAATTAAGAGAGAAAAATTGAAATATCAACTTATTTTAAAACAACAATAAACCTATCACATAAAGAACATATTTTAAATAAAAATTATTTTTAAAATATTTAATGAGAAACGTGTCATTGTTTTATACTGTTCACAAAATTCTTTAACATCTGGTTTAATAAGACAGCCAGGTCATATATCTGCATTCAGAGCAAACAAGTGTGGACATTCTTCTCTGACTCCACAAGGGGCTTCCTTAAAAGATCTGCTGCGATGTAAACATCTCAGTCATCCACTAATTTCGTATCCCTGTCCTGAGACCATCCAGGTGTCTTGACTGTGAGTGACTCTATGACACCATGGAAAGCACTTGTTCTCCAAGTTACACAGACCGTGCAATCGTACATGTGCTCCTGTGCGCTCTGTGAAGCAGCAGATAGAGGCACTTCACTTTCTAAGCATCATTTCAGTATCACTGTGAAATGACGCTCTGAGTCCAAGATGAACAGGGTCCTGCAGGCCCAGGGGCTGCGGGGAAGCTTCAATGATAACAATAACACAAAGACTAAAACCTGATGAATCTATTCAAACACGCGAGTTCATAATGATATTTTAGAAGCAGAACTGGTCAACCTCTGAAAACAACAGAGAACAAATCCACTGCCTCAATGACCAGGCAATGAAGAGAAGGCCCTTCCTCTGGGACGCTCTGCTGTGTAACGTGACGAGTTGAAGTGACAAGGTCCTTATGGAACCGTTGGCTGCTAAGTGAACAGTGAGCGGCACAGCTTCACACGGTGAGGCTCTGAGGGGGTGGTAAACATGGGCAGTGAGACTCCACAGCTCCAGCGTCACAAGGAAGAACCCAGATACCACGCCTTAGCTGGGGTGCACCCCCTCCACTGAGCCAGGTCCACCTCTTGTCTGAACTGCAGACAAGCGGGTTGGACGCCCTGTGTGTCTGAGAGCCGCTGACTCCAACCATGGGGTCCAATGGCCCGGCCGTCCCACAGAGAAGCGCAAAGTCCAGAGACACCCACGTGGATGGTGAGGCCATTCAGAGAGCACAGAAGTGGGGGGCGGCTGCTCACGGCCAATCCCATTTTCTGCCCCGGGGTGGTTACTGGAGTGCCCGCCACCTGAGACACTCATCAGGCCAAACTTCTGACTTGTACTGTTTTCTGGATCAATTTCCCAGGAAAAGACCCTGAGTTCCTAAGATGAACTTCGGGGAATGGCAGAGGGGAGGGACAGCTGAAGGACCGGCTCATTACTCAGAAAAGCAGGAAAAGACATCACTATTTGCTCTGTGAACCCAGGACAGGCCCACCTCAGGGGCCCAGCAGCCCTGCGGGTGAGGGGTCACCTGCTCCAGTGACATCACAGTCACGGCAGGAAGTACGGGAAGCTGCCCAACCGCTCGCCTAGCAGGGCTCCGAGGGCACAACTGCGCTGCAGGGAGCCGTGAGCAAGGGAACCCAACACGTCCCTGCCAAGGCGCTCTGGCCAAACCCAGCTGGGCATAGGGACTGCCGCAGCGCCCGGATGAGTGCAGGCCTCCAGCCCTGTGACCTAGGACGAAGGGGACCGACCAGCCGGGAACAGCCCAGGCCAGGCGGGTGCAGGGCCGCAGGAGGAGGCAGAAGCTGCCTGCATTTGGCTGGAGCAGAGGACACACATGTCCAACCGTCCACGAGGCGTCACACAATAGCAGGAGCCACTGCTGTTTCTGCTCCACGAGACACATGCTGTGACCACCGGCTCAAACTTGGCGGCTGGCCCTGAGCAGCAAGGTCAGAGGTCAGCTGTGAGCCTCTCTGTGTGGGAAGCTCCTCCAAAGAAGGTAGGCGGCACCTCAGTCTCTGCTATCCACATTCAAGTTCACAGCGAAGCAGGAAAGCCTCTGCAAAGTGTGGCCTCAGCAGAGCAGCACCCACAGCCACGTCCGCCCCCAGCCTCCCAGCACGGCCGCACAAACGGCCCATCTCCCAGGCAGCCTGGCACGGCCAGGCAGGGTCCTCCCCTGACACAAATGCAGCCTGCTCACCTGGTGGTCCACGCTCTCTGTGGCCATGCACTGATTGTTGGCCAGAGTGGTGATCTCCCGGCTCTTTGGGGTCTCCATCCGGCAGCTGCAGAGGGGCACCTCCTGGAGGCCATCCGTCTCGCCCACATCAGGACCATTGGCCAGCCCTGCAGGCACAGATGTGTGAGTGTCGCCGCCATGCCACCCGCCCAGACGCTCCGCTACACTCGGGTCACCCGGACACAGGGTCCCTGCAGACACGCTCACGGCAGGACACAGGGAACCCAGGCCAAGACTCCACTCCCCACGAGGAGAGTGCTTGTCTTCCCTGCTCGGTTTCAGAACTGCAGCCACAAAATGAGCGCTTGGTCCACTTAGAAGGGGGGCTTTCCTGGGGGTTCAGACAGTAAAAAATCCGCCTGCAATGCAGGAGACTGGGTTCGATCCCTAGGTTGGGAAGATCCCCTGGGAAAGGGAATGGCAACCCACTGCAGTGTTCTTGCCTGGAGAACTCCATGGACAAAGGAGCTTGGCAGGCTACAGTCCATGGGGTCACAAACAGTCTGACACAACGGAGCTTGATTCCTTTGCCTTCAAGACATTTGGTAATATCTAGAAACATTTTGGGTTTTCCAAGTGGTGCTAGAGGTAAAGAACCCGCCTGCCAATGCAGGAGACATAAGAGATGCGGGTTCAGTCCCTGGGTCGGGAGATTCCCCTGGAGGAGGGCATGGCAACCCACTCCAGTGTTCTAGCCTGGAGAATCCCATGGGCAGAGGAGCCTGGCGGGCTACAGTCTATGGGGTCGCAAAGAGTGGGACACGACTGAACCAAGTTAGCACCACTTGGAGGGGGTTAGAGGCAGCCTGTTTGGTGATGACCCACTATAACCGAACAGAGAGCTTGCTCATCCAGCTGAATGACAGACGTGCAGAGAACAAAGAAGAAAACCAGGACCACAGTGAGCCTTTTAGGAACAGCAACATCACCCCAACCTGCCTACAAGCAGGTGGGGGGCAGCGCCAGGGAAAGGGGGCCCGCAGCCAGGCTGGCTCCTGGTGGGGACACAGACTGGCGGCCAGAAAGAGCCCTCAGCCCAGCTACGGCCTCCAAAGGAAGGCGAGTGCCCTGCTCCTTCTCGCGGCACAGTCCCGTGGCCCACTCCCCTCCCTGCGCGGGAGCCAGGCCAGGCCCAGGACACTTGGGACCCAGGCCCAGCTGTGCCCCAGCGGCAGGAGCACCCACTCGCGCAGGAACCAGGCTGGAGGGCGACCCTGAGACCCCAGGGGCCCCGCCCTCGCTGCCTCCCAGGAGCAAACCTGCCTGCGGGGACCCCAAGCCTGCTCAGCAAACAGACTCTGAGACCAGGACACGGGCCGCAAGGTCAGGGCGAGGGGAGGACCCGCAGGCAGCCCAGGCAGCAGGGCCACAGAGCATCAGACGAACAGATTCCCAGCAGACCCCGTGAGTACCCCCCTCGGCTCTGGCCACCTGCCCACAGCCCCAGCCAGCCACCAGGGTCAAAGCAGCACCTGACCTCAGCTCGGCAGACCCACAGGCACGGATGAGGGCCACTGCCCATCCCAACACAAAATGTTCTCCAGGCTGGAGCCGGGACCCTGTGACCAGGTCAGTCCCCGCCTTCCCGCTGGTCCAGGTCACAGGGCTTGCTGCCAAGGAGCCCCAGGCCCCTGCCCTCCCGTCCGGCCTCGGGCTCCACAGCTGCCTCCTCAAGGGTCTGAAACTCCAGAACCGAATACATACAACTGGAGACTCCAGCTCGTCCCTGCAGATACCGCATGACTGGGCGGCCCCCGGCAGGGCTGGCGCCATGGGAACACCCCCAGAGAAGCCTCTCACCCCACACCCGGCAGCGGCCTCTCCTCCTAACGCAGAGCTCTCACCAGAGTGGCCCGTACTTGGAGCTGAACATAAACACAGAGGCAGAGGCCACCACCCCTCAGCCTGGGCTCAGCTTAGACAGGCATCCCAGCTGCACTGCCCTCACACTGCCGACCGTGGACAACTGGGTAAAATACGCACTACTTCCTGCAGGCGTCCAAGTCAGCACGTTCCTGAGACAAGCTAAGAACGTGTAGAAGCAGAGAACACACATGTCATGTCACCGGGAAGGAGGGCGTGAGGGGATCACTGGATGGTTTCTGCTCCATTTGAAGCAACAAGAAAAGCTACTATTTCTCTGAAGGATAAGCCTGATTTTTTTCCTAAGCTATAGATGTAGTTGCCTAAGCTGAACAAGTAACCCAAACTCCCCTAGTGTTCACAGCTAAAGGCCATTCATTTGTCCTTTCCAGAATGTCCGGCTGAACCCCACTGGAAGCCATACCCTTCAGCCAGCAAAGTCCATGAGACAAAGTTAACACAGGTTTTACATTAGCCCCAGATTTCATTTCAAACTGATTTCCCAAAAAGGCCAAATAGCTACTAGCTCCTTTCCCCAGATAAAGGTTTTCGGATGGTGGGAGTACACGGCCCCAGTGCCAGGACCCCAGTGCCATGGAGCGAGGACCTCGGTGAGGGGCCCAGGCCCAGACACACAGCACAGGGCATCTGAGCACCAGCAGCTCAATACCAAGGAGACACACATTTCCACCAACACTGCGGTAGTGCGAGACCGTGAAACAGGTTACGCAGAACACTGCCACCTGCGGGCAGAGGCACCTCCTGCGGGGAGCCCACCAAGAGCGCGTGTGGCCCATGGGACTGCCGCCCCGGCACCTGTCTGCACCCGACCTCTGGGTCACGGCGACCGGCACCGCGTCCTGCCTACACGGCATTCAACGTGCCCTCCCCCCACTGGCCCCACCACGCACGCGTTCACCTTCTGTGTCAGAGGTCAGCGCACCCTTGACACGGAGATCCAAGGAGTCCAGTGGCACTTCCATGTACCCCCCGCCGTCGCCAGGCGCCGTTGGCTCCGCACTGCCCGAGGACGACGCATAGGCTTCAGAACCTGCAACCAAAGGTACGCTCATCAAACGGGGGGGCTGGAAACACATCACCACCCCTGCAGCACAGAGGCTCACCAGCCACACACACCATACACACGCGTGTGCAGAACATACAGACGCTCTCCAGACACACACATCACACACATGTGTACATGAGACATGGAGATGCTCGCCAGACACACAGATCACACACATGTGCACGAGAGACATACAGACACTCGCCAGCAACAAAGATCACACACGCAAGTGTCATACAGACCCGCACCAGCAACAAAGATCACAAACGCAAGTGTCATACAGACACTCGCCAGCAACAAAGATCACACACGCAAGTGTCATACAGACCGGCACCAGCAACAAAGATCACACACACAAATGTCATACAGACGCTCGCCAGGAACAAAGACCACACACGCAAGTGTCATACAGACCCGCACCAGCAACAAAGATCACACACGCAAGTGTCATACAGACCCGCACCAGCAACAAAGATCACACACGCAAGTGTCATACAGACGCTTGCCAGCAACAAAGTTCACACACGCAAGTGTCATACAGACCCGCACCAGCAACAAAGATCACACACGCAAGTGTCATACAGACGCTCGCCAGCAACAAAGTTCACACACGCAAGTGTCACACAGACGCTCACCAGTAACAAAGATCACACAAACATGCATGCAAGACACACAGATGCTCACCAGCCACACAAATCACACACATGCACGTGCAAGGCACGTGACACTCACCAGCCAGGCAGCTCACTCACACACACACACACACACACACACACACACACACACACCCCCGCCCACACTTCTCCTGCCTGGTCCCATTTCCACTCGAGCTCCCCGGATATGGGGCAGCCAGGTCAAGGAGAGCCAAGGCAAAGACACATGAAAACGCCTTTCTCTACAACATCAGGAGCTGGATTAAAACTGATAAAACAATCTGAGGACACAAGTAGAAACACTGTACACACATTCTATGTTACTTTAAAGTAAGAGAAAAATCAAATGGCAGGTTTGAAAGACTAGCTGTTGTGTGGCAACTAAAGACGCCCCAGATACACAGCATCACTGGGAACCTGCCCAGCTCAGGCAGTGGGCTCCAGGATCCACAGGGAAAGGCTGGAGGGAATGTCCATCCATGAGAACGGGGTTTAAAGAGCCCCTCACCCACCAAAGGGTAACACACTCTGAACATGCCAACGGGAGGCGAGTGTGCAAGTGAAGAGCCGTCAAGGGGTGGGGGGTTCCTATCTATATGACCCAGGAGGCCACCTGGGTATCAGTGATCATAAGGGCATCTCACTGAAAAAGCCTGCAAAAACGCGTTTACACAGCATAGCTAACACCGCCAGCAAAGGGCAAATGCCCACAGTTCACAAGCAAGCTTTAAACGCTAGCCACTGGTGTTATTTCAATGATGGGAATTGAACAGGTATAATACAGAAGTTTAGTATCCAAAGACCCTGAGTCCAGGCCAGTCTGCACCCAGATCTCAGGCAGGAAGGAGCTGACCACCTGCAGAATTCATCACCCATCTGAGGAACCCCAGTAAACTGTGCAATTTCAAACACTTTACAAAGGGAATACAATTCAAACTCCTGCTGGAATATTCCGGCAGGCATTCTGCATGCTATACCCAAGACGGTGGCGATGAAGCCTCCATCCCAAATGACTTTTAGTCTTGGGTCTACAATGGCTTCTGTCAGCCGACAACACAAACAAAGGGTGTGTGATCTCGGCTGATGATTCGAGGTAGAGAGATGAGGAACTGTGAGTGAAGGAGAGGAGCTTCAGGGACGAATAGTGGCGGGTGGGCAAACAAGTCCCAGGCGCCACCTGAACCAGCCTCAGAGCGCCTGCCGTGCAGGCCCGCCAGCAGCCCTCTGCACTTCGGGGGCAGCTCCACGACCTGCTTCTCTATCGGAGAACAGAGGCCGTGCAGCACTTCCCACCAGCAACAACACCGATGACCCAGTGACACGTGGAGAAGCCAAAGAGAAGTGCCCTCCGTGAGCAGGCTCCACGGCGCTGGCCCCAGGCAAGGACCCTGCAGAGCAGCGCCGGGCAGCGAGGGCTGAGTAGGGAGGGGTCTCGGCCACGCACAGGGCGTGGCAGGGCCTTCGGTCACAGGTGCCGGAGGAGCTCACCAGCCCGGCTCCGGAGCACAGCATACCCTCTTATGCGTTCAGCCCTTCACAGCAAAGCTGCAGACCAGGGCTGGGCCACTGAGCCTGAGGTCATTCCCCTCCCAGTCAGCCTGAGACAGAACCACCCCCACATCAAGGGGACTGACCAAAGGGCTGAGCACCGTTTCGTGGCCCAGGGTCTGGCCCCAGGACACCGAGGGCAGGACATAGGCTGTGGGGGAGCGGTCAGCAGGCAGCCACCCCTCAGGGCCTGCGGGCAGGAGACCCCCGGGCACCCCCGCGCAGCTCTGATAGAGTCACTTCTGGGCGTCTGCCTTTCTAAGAGTGGCGAATGAAGTCCTGCGCAGAGCCCAGTCCCCAGGCGCGACCCCGCCCAGGCTGCGTGTGGCTCCGTGGTTACCTAGCACAGAGCAGGGCTTCTTTTTACTTCTCCGCCTCCTCTTTCTTGCCGGCTTGATCCAGGGGCTGTCAGGCTTCCCCTTCCTCTTGAGGAACTTCTTCTTGATGCTGGACTCAGAGCTCTGGGGAGCAGGGGGAGGGCAGAAACGCAGAGCGTGGGCTCCGGGCGCAGAGGCTCTGGCTCCTGCCGTGTGGCCACCCCTCAACCACAAGACCCCTCTCACTCCCAGATGGTCCCTTCCAGGTCACATTCGTAAAGATACTGATGCCTGTCCCTAAACATCACTCCAAGCCTGGTTACTTGAGTTTCAGCGCAAAAAAGAATAAATGGGAAAGTTCTAGCAGGAACTAAAGCAGCTCAGTAAGAAGCCACTTTCCCTCGCATGCACCCATTCGCCCTGCTCTCAAGAAAAGGACAAAGCCTCGGTCTGCTTCAGGTCTACATCCAAATGAGCCAGAGCCCAGAGAACGAGAAGAAACTGTCACTGCTCATGACATGTCACAGTTCCCGAGTGTCTGCATCTCGCACCTCCACGCAGACAGGGTCTAACTGCCTTGAGCGAGACAGACAGAAAGCCGGCCCACAGACTATGCTGCCCAGTCTAACGTGAGGGTCTTGCGGCCCCGCTGACCAAGGACGAGGAGACACTTAACAGCCTGTGCTCACGAGATCCACAGAAACACCAGGGGGCTCAGTGCCATCCCGAGAGCTGCCTGGGAGCCTGAGCCCTGGAGCTGGGCCCCAGCGCCCTGTGCCTCCGTGGCAGAGCCCAGCCAGGGAGGGATGTGAGCTGCAGTGCACCAGGGCCAGGCCCCAGGGAAACACGCTAATCGCCCCAGGGCCACTCTCACACCCTCTCAGCCCCCACGTGGCCACCGTCTCCCTCTCAGAGACCTGCCCTGGCTGGACGGACACGGTACAAGCTCATCAAGCACCACCGCCCCCCGCCCCCCAAGCCGAGCCTCTGACCCACCCTCAGCTCTGAGCCCCGCCCAGCCTGGAGGGCCAGCGGATCCCCTGGACCCGCCGCCCACCAGCCCCGAGGCCCCTCCTGGCTCTGTGCGCGGGCCGCTCCATGGGGCAGGACCCAGGACTCGCGTGACGCGCGCACGCGGGCGTTACCAGGTCAGACTCGTCCCCGTCCTCCTCCTCATCCGCGGTGCCGGCCGACTCCTGCTCCTCTTCAGACTCGCCATCCACCTGAGCGGCCACGCGGGGGCCCAAGAGAGAAGAGAAGCCAGTGAGACCCTCTGGGGGCAGGCACCCGGACTCCCGTGCTGAGGGGCTGCTGGGGGCGCCCGCGTGCCCGCTCCACACTGAGGGCCCAGCCCGGCCCAGGCCTCAGGCTGTGGCAAACGCTCAGACCCCTTCCAGGTGGGCACGCGCACCCGGCCTCCCAGCGGCAGCACCCAGCACGCTTCTCTAAGTCACCGTCTTCTAAGGAGAAGTTTGTTGCAGAATCCCTCCCGTCACAGAACAGAGGTGCTCGTGCTCACCACCCCTACTTGCACGGCGGCCCTGAAGCCCGTGTGTGCCCGCACCCTCCTCCGCCCTGCACACTCCTCCAGGGGCTGCAAACCTCCACAATCCCAGAGGACAGCTAAGACCCCCCGGACAAAGAGCGACACGGGTTCCCACCGGGTCGGTGCTCGGGGTGGGGGGCACCCACAGTCCCGAGCACCCCCCAGCCCTGCCCCTCTGTTTCTCCCTCCAAGTCCGGGAGACCACACTCCTGGCCCATATTTCCCCGGGGTCACTGCTTTCTAGTAACTGTGGGAGCTACACACCCACAGGAGAGTTCTCCTCTGTCTGCTAAATATGTTATCAACATTCTCCTACCAAGTCTTATGGGCTTTGCTTCTCGTCTTCCTTTTAATATAAAACTTGTGAAATTCCAACTGAACAAGTCAAACCTCTCCATTTCCCACTTCATGGCTTCTGCGTTTGTGTCTTACACCAGAAAGCCTTCATCTGAGATTAGAAAACATGGTTTCCAAAGCTTTTTTCCCACAGCTGAATATTTTGTGCTAACTTTTCTTAACTTCTGGCTGCACTACAGGGCATGTGGTGTCTTGGCTCCCACGCAGGGAATGAACCCTGGTCCCCACCCTGGAAGCACAGAGTCTTAACTACTGGCCTCCCAGGGAAATCCCTGTGTGGACATTTAAATCTTCTGGAATTTGCTCTCTGATTTATCATTCACCTACCCTTGTACGCAGTCAGTGGTCTGAGTGTGTTCAGAGCCGTGAGGCCACCACCCCGTGTGTCTGGAAGGGAGCCCACGTCTCCTGAGCCCCGTGACCCGCGGCTAATCGGCCTCCACTCTGCCGCCAGCCATCCCGGTGACGCCCACCGAGAAGCTCACGGCCTCCGCCCCCAGCTGAAAGCCCAGCTCCGACAGCAAACTGTCGCGCTGCGGACAGAAGGCAGGGCGGGCAGCTGCCCCACAGGGTGCCTGCACGGCCCCGCCGAGCCCCATCCTGCCAACAGCGCCCCGTCCCCGCCATGACACCCCCACATCAGCTGGCCCCACCGAAGGCCCCATGAGGGTTCCGAGGAGCTCAAGGACATGGGGCAAGGGGGATGACACGGGGGTCTTCCCGTTCAGACAGACGGTGGTCACTGCACGAGCGCGTGCTTCTTTACCCTCTCTCAGCAAAGCTGTACGACTTTCCCCTTACATGTCACAGATATCTCTGGTTAAGTTTACTGCTAGATATTCTGGCGGTGTTACAGGATGACAGCTAACCCTGGGGTGACGCTGGCTCCGTGTTCCGCATCGTCAGCTGCTGAAACCGCCCCAGGACCGTTGGGGGAGCAGCAGCCCCTGCGCACAGGCCCAGCCACGCCGTCCTGACCTCCCAGTCGTAAACGCCAGCCGGCATCCTGGGCATCCCGCCGGCAGGCTTTCCGCACGTTCTCCAGCCGGCAGGACCACCCACGCTCAGCTAACCAGCTGCAGTGGCTGCTCAGCTGACTTCCCTAGACGTTTCAGATGAGGATTATATTCTCAGCGAACTCTCTCCCTCATCCTTTTAAATATTAATGCTCCCTTCTGGCTTTCACCTCACAGCTTTGCAACAAGAATGACAAACTCAGCACAGTCATGTGAGGGAAGATGGGGGCTACTGCTGCAGTTTAGTCACGAAGTCGTGTTTACCTCTGCGACCCCACGGACTGTAGCCCACCAGGCTCCTCTAGCCATGGGGTTTCCCAGGCAAGAGTCCTGGAGTGGGTAGCCATTCTCTTCTCCAGACCCCAACCCAGGGGTCACACTGGGGTCTCCTGCATCAGCAGGCAGGTTCTTTCATCACTGAGCCACCAAGGGGGCCCTGACAGTGGCTATGTGCATTTTCTCTTCACTCATGTTCGTGATGGTTTAAAACTTCCACCAACACACACAACTTTTTCCTGGTATCTTTAGTTCGCTTTATTTAAGTATCTTTAAATTTCACTGGATAGTTATTTTAAAAACAGTGAGCAATGGAACTACCCACTAAAATGGGCAGATTAACAACTTCTGAAACTCCTGCCACATGACTGTCAAGGGAGGAGTAGGGGTCAGTGGACAAGAACGCACACGGCAGCCAGCTGAGGCCTGGAGAAGCGCCGTGAGGGACGCAGACAGATGGGCGCCCAGGGGACCGCGGCAGGCCACACGGGGCAGGGACCCAGCCAGCAGGCCAGAGAGCCGGGGACAGCCGCACCCTCCCACCCGGTCTACCCAGCGCTGAGACCAGGGTGCCAAGCACCAGTCACCAGTGAGGAGCAGGGGGCGGCGTGCTGGCCGCATGCACAGGGGCTCCTTGCCTACAGATCGCTCTTTTAAGAAGACCGATAACCACAGAGATGAACAGCTGACTTCCCAGCAGGCATCTCACAAGAGAAGGCGTCCATGTGGCAAACGCTTCAGGACGCCCCCGACCTTCTCGGAGGCCAGGAAACGCGAGTCAGAACTGCAGCGTGGATGCGCTCAACCTGAGGCACACGTGGGGCGTGCAGCCCCCCAGCAGGTGCAGAGCACAGTGACTGCCAGGCTGGAGGGGGCAGCCCCACAACGCCCCCAGCGTCCCTCCTCCCCCAGAGACTCCTCAGAACAGATAAGGGCTTGGGGACAGCCGGCTGGGAACACACGCACAGCAAGACTTCTGCAGACAATGAGAAAGCCAAGCGAGCCCCAGGTACAGGTAAGCCCCAGAGCCATGACGGCCCCGGAGGGGCTCGGGGACCCTGCTCAGCCCCAGAGCCATGACGGCCCCGGAGTGGCTTGGGGACCCCAGGCCACCTTCAGACACCGTCACACACAGTAAAAACGAACTAACACCACAAGTAAATCCCACAGTCACAACTGACTAACCAGCTCCACTCAGAAACAGGGGTGCCTCTTGCTGGGCCGAAGCGGACCCACCCTGCAGGCTGGCCTGCACCCCAGCCCATCCACGTGGCAGCAAGCCGGACCCCAGGACACAGCCTCCAGCTCCCTCCTGCCCCAGGACCCCAGCAGGTCCTGAGAAGAGCCCCCACCCCGTCCCTCTGAGGCGTGGCTGTGACTGGCGGACGGACACTGAGCTCGGCGTTCACGCATGTTCCGTCTCAGGCCCGGCCATGTGCCTATCATCTCCCATCTCTGAACGGCCGAGCGTAAACCCACCGAAGTCTGTTACCATCACTGACCTGTGCAGACCTGCTCCCACCGTCTTACTTCATTTTCCACATTTTCTTCTTCATTCTGCTTTTATTTGTCTTCCTGATTCTTTTGTTAGCTTGATACTCATTTGATTTTTTCCTGTTTGTATTAACATCTACCCAGTGTTATTCAGTATCTAGATTCTTTCTGGAGGAGGAGAACTTCCATCAACACTGAGAATCCAGAGACAGACTCGAATTCAAGTGCCACGTGCATGTGACACAGGCGGTCTCATCACCAGGGAAGCGACGCCCATCCGTGGACTCTGCCGGCCGCACGGAGCCCAGCCTCACGGTCCGCTGAACCAGCTTCACTGAGACATGACTCCTCTCCATGTGTGCAACACACTTTGGCTCTACCTCACGTCTTATCACAAGTTCTACATGAATCACACAATTACACAAAAATACTAAGCCTATGAAAAAACAAAAGATAGCTTACATCAATTTATTCAAAATCGCCAAGGAGAAAGGCCTGTGTGTCATAACTAGAGTCCAGAGCCCAGAAATCACACAGAAGCAGCTTGGCGTCCCTCAGCTCTGGCGTCACAGCCAGGGCCAACAGCAGAGACCCGAGCCACCAGTCAGCAGTGCACTCACCCCACGCTGCCCAGGCCGCAGGGCAGCAGAGAGGGGGTCGTGGAACAAATCCTGACGGCCAGTGCCCGTGAGGGGCTGCCTGGCCCGCCTGGAACAAAACAGGTGCAGGGATACACAGACACAAACCCGCCCTTCCCCACGCGCTGCAGCCTGTGACCTGGTGATGCCCACGTCCCACCACAGGGGGCAGGTCGTGCCCCAAGTGTCCCCTGTGACGACAGGAAATGGCTCGGGGAGCAGGACAACACCTGCTGAGGGGCGCAGAGCGGTACACGGTGCATGAGGAGGAACCTGGGCACCCTGGGTCTGATCCCACTGCAGGCAGCGGTGAGCACAGGTCTGAGAGCACACCTTCCAAATACCATTCTAGGGGCTTCCCTTGTGGCTCAGCCCGTAAAGAATCCACCTGCAATGTGGGAGACCTGGGTTCAATCCTTGGGTCGGGAAGATCCCCTGCAGAAGGGAACGGCTACCCACTCCAGTATTCTGGCCTGCAGAATTCCATGGACGATGCCCCTAGGGTCACAAACAGTCGGATACGACTGAGCGACTTTATCTCCACTCTCTCTCTCACTAACACGTTCACCCACACTACACAACTCTCCACACCACACACACACACACTTCCATCACACACACACACACAACTCTCTCGTCTCTCTCTCTCTCTCACACCTCTCCCATCTCTCACACCCCACTCCTCCTCTCTCTCTCTCAACACCTCTCACTTTCTCTCTTCTCTCTCTTCTCTCTCACACCTCTCACTTCTCTCTCTCTCTCTCTCTTCTCTCTCTCTCTCTCACACCTCTCACTTTCTCTCTCTCTCTCTCTCACACCTCTCACTTCTCTCTCTCTCACACCTCTCACTTTCTCTCTCTCTCTCTCCTCACACCTCTCACTTTCTCTCTCTCTCTCTCTCTTCCTCTCTCTCCACTCTCTCACCTCTCTTCTCTCTCTCTCTCTCACCCTCTCACTTCTCTCTCTCTCTCTCTCTCATCACCTCTCACTTTCTCTCTCTCTCTCTCCACCTCTCACTTTCTCTCTCTCTGCTCCTCACACCTCTCACTTTCTCTCTCTCTCTCTCTCACACCTCTCACTTTATCTCTCTCTCTCTCTCACACCTCTCACCTTTCTCTCTCTCTCTCTCTCTCACACCTCTCACTTCTCTCTCTCTCTCACTTTCTCTCTCTCTCTCTCTCACACCTCTCACTTTCTCTCTCTCTCTCTCTCACACCTCTCACTTCTCTCTCTCTCACTTCCTCTCTCTCTCTCACACCTCTCACTTTCTCTCTCTCTCTCTCCACACCTCTCACTTCTCTCTCTCTCTCTCTCTCTCT